AGGTGGTAAGGGGTGGCTGGGTGGGGTAAAGGATGAGTGGGAAGGTGGTAAGGGGTGGCTGGGGGGGGTAAAGGATGAGTGGGAAGGTGGTAAGGGGTGGCTGGGGGGGTAAAGGATGAGTGGGAAGGTGGTAATGGATGAGTGGGGAGGGGATAAGGGGTGAGTGGGGAGGTGGTAAGGAGGGAGGGATTGAGAGGGGAGGGGGGTAAGGAGTCAGTGGGAATGAATTTTTTCTTGCCACAGACAGCAGCTAGTTTATTGTGCACCTCATACTCATCCTGTGAGCGGTAGTGCAAAAAGGATTACAGAGCATAGGCCACAAAGGGTGTTTATTGGACCCCAATGATTTTGATATTACGGTATTGAGTGTTACAGAGTATTTCCAGTACGTTGTTTGTTTTAGTCGGTACATAGAATTTTGATTAAGTACTACTGTAAATGCGAAGTGTGGATACGGCCTCGGTACAGTATATCAGCGATCTTGTCATTAGAGATAAAGTGCTGTGCCATTGCATACACAGTGTGCTTTGATCTGTCCCTATAAGGTTCTATTTTTTTCACATTTTGAGACATTTAAGGGGTTTTAACCTATCAGTACATTGACGGGTTAGCCGTTGTGTGGCAGGTGAAGTACAGGGGATAGACACCAAGATAATTAAAAGAGGGAGACATAGTCAATAGTGTTGTTACCTATCTTAAGGTTTGATGGTCCGCGTTTGCAGTTACCAGCTTGTTTGTCGAATACAGTACCTTAGTTTTCTCTGTAGAGATGATGAGACCAAGGTTCTCACAGGCTGACTGTACATGGTTCAGGGTGGTTTGCATTTCACAATAAGTTTTAGTATGTATAAGCATGTCATCTGCATAGCTAACATTAATATTGCTGGGGCTGTTTGGGGTTGACTTTATTGCATTCTTAAGAACATTGAACAAACTGGAACTAAGTACTCCACCTTGGGGGTGCCAAGTTGCATATCTTTAACTTCACTCTTGTAACCCTGAAACAGTGCTTTCTGTTGGTGAGGTAACCACTTATACAGTGTAAAGCCGACCTCCTATATCCATTTTTTGCTATTTTGTACAATATAAGTTGCCTATTGGCAATATCAAATGCAGCTTTTAGGTCAAGAAATGTGATGTATCCTAGCCTTTCATCCCCGTGCCCAGTTAGGAATGTGGTGATGCAATTATGTGCACTTTTACCATGGGTGAAGCCATTTATGTGAGGAGACATGTGTTCTCTGATTCTGTATAAGAGTCTGCCAAGAACCATCCTCTCAGTGGTTTTGCAAAGGCAGCTGGTTGTATTTCAGTGGAAGGCATCAACCCACTTTGGTCACTCTCAACATCACCACCATTTTCTGTTCGTTCATCTTCATTGACTATGTCTACAGAGGCAACAGTAAAACTGTTACCAGTATTATTGTGTTGCAAAAGTCTGTTATCACTTCATTTTGTTTGGCCAGTTGATCTTCAAGCTGTTGTATGTTATTTTCTATGGCAGTGTTCACAACATTGCTTGTGTCTTTAGTGGGAGCGTTGGTAGCTTCCTGTTGCGGCTCTGCGTGTGTCACTCCATGCGGGTCTGCTGTTAACAGCTGGTACCGGTCGGTTAGGTGCAGTGATGCCGGTAAACCAGGGGTTGTTCCTAGGTGGCTCCCTTATAGCAGCAGAGATGCCTGACACCTGCCTAGGTGGCAGGTTTGGTCGCTGGGGGGCGGGGGGCAGTTGATGCATTATTTTTGTACAGTTTCACCTGCAGATCTTTGTTGTGTGTGGTTGTGCACAGAGACTTCACCATGGTCTCTGATAAGGGCAGAAACAAGCCACATGGCCCCATCTATGACATTTATAACATCTCTGGGATGGAGGCTAATAGATGCCTACTTTTAGATAATGGTATGCACCACAAAACTGTCACTTTTAAGCTTACCAGCCATTTTAAAGTGAATTACAAACGAAAATTTTGTCAGTACACAGCACAATCACTAACGTCGGGACTCGAAAATACGTAATTTGACATAATTTTGGTATGACTGAGGCGGTCGTATGTGCGGGTGGTCGTAAATCGAGTAGGTCATAAGTCGAGGAATAGCTGTACTGCATACAGTGTTTAATAATGTATGATGAAATATATTACACAACATCTCTTGTACAGTTGCTGAGCTGGACCTAATGCTGATATCTGTACTCTGTTGTGATAAATATACATAATAGATTTATATACAGTAGGCTCTCACCAATAACGTCTAATAGGTTCCTGAAAAACACCGTTATTAGCGAAAACGTTATTTGTGTGACATTAAAATACATGTAAAAAGGGTTTATTGGTGCCGCCGCCCCAAGAATTTCACTCATTTTTCCCCTTGAAGCCCTGCCTAACACTTTTTGTTAGCCAAAATAAAAAGAATTGTTATTCAATCATCAAAATAAAGAGTTTGAGTAATATAACACTTAGCTTGGGGGAGTTTTTGAGGTGCTTGGTGTGATGATTGTTACGTATCTTCTGGGGGTCGCTAACACTTGCACTGTCTTTCATTCTACAAGCTAACCATTTCACAAGAAAATGCTCTGTTATCACTAACAACCTGATTCTATCGCCTTCATCATTCATAGCTCGCCTCGCATTTCCATCACTACCGAAATATTTTTAGCCAGCGCAATACTCTTCTTGGTCTCCTCTAAGTTCCTCTTAATATTTTGCACTGTAGACTCAGGACAGTTCAATTTCCTCACAATGTCAATGTTCCGTGCACCACTTTCAATGAGTTCAACAATCTGTTCTTTATCCTTGATTGAGTACGCACGCTTCTTGTGGCTTTGTCTCTTAGCTTTGGGATTGTTTTTCTCATTCACTTTAAAAGTTCCCGGGCGTTCAGGTGGGAAATCATTCCCTCCACCACCTCCCCCAGCCCCCACAGGCAAAAATGCGGAAGCCACTGGTTATAGAAGCGAAAATCTCACACGTGGGCGCAGCGCTGTATTCCATGGAGCGTGTGTGAGAGTGAGGCGGAGTGGACAACTACGTCATCAACATGGCGGCAAACAAACGCTATCATTGATGCGCTCGGACGCTTCCCACGAAATCTCCGTTATTTAAGAGAATCCAGACGTTATTATCGAAAATGGGTATCTATTGTAACTTACCGTTATTGTCGAAAACGTTATCGTGGAAGTAGTTATTGGCGAGAGCCTACTGTACTGTACTGTATTTATGAATTCTATTGATGTGCTAATCAGTTGTAATTTTGACAGCATCATTCCATTAAAGAGAAGTTCAGTTATCATTCAAATGTTGTGAGATCTAAAATTACAGTACTGTATGGTATTAGAAAAACAGTACAATACGGTAGTGTACGCACATAACTACCTTACATCTATGTGAATGCATTTTGCAGTATATCTTTTTAAATGTTTGATCATTTCTAAAAAGATAACTTAAGACTTATGACATCAGTTGTATTATACAGTATTCTAAATACAGCACTGTAGTACTACTAATTAGAAAAACGCTAAATCATACGACCTAGCTAGTGACGTATAAATTACAAATTGGACATTGTGGTGAGATTTGTTGGAGTGAAAGAGAAACATTGAGAAAGATAGTGTGGAGAAGTAGGAGGTGACCTTGCCAACGACCATGTTCCGGACAGCCTGTGCTCCTTTTGTCTTCAGGTTCTCCTCCTTATGTCCAGTAAGTTGAAGTTGTGTTTATAGATATGTTTGGTTACATGTGTAATTTGCCAATCATCTTTTGTTGATTCATTATGAAACTGTGAACTTTTTATCCAGAAGACTATACGTATACTGTAGTTATGACTCTTGGATCTACATTAAGCAGTAGTTTCCAGGTCTTCCAAATACTGTGCTGTACATACAGTAAACCCTCACAATTTTGGAATAATTGTTCATAAATATTCAGAACTATCTTCTATTTACCAAAGCAAATCTACTCTTCTCACACCCTCACCATACAAAAGTAGCCAGCCAGCATTTTGTTCTTTACAATACTGTACAATATACTGCACAGTGGTCCCTCTGTTAACGAGCAGACATTGGATGTCACTAGAAGATTGGTAATTTTCACATAAACCATTAATAATGAAAAGTACTATAAAAGATTGTTTATACTCGCCCAGTGATGATGATTTTCCTCAGTTACTCACATTACCTCACCAATAAATTTTCATATTTTTAAATCTTGTTAGCATCCATTATAGATTTCTACTTTATTTTCAAGGATAATTGTTTTTTCCTTGTTAGATTTAGCCAAAGGGGCATTATCATTACCCAGTACAGGTAAAATATGTAGACATTACAGGTAACATGAAACTAGTCAGAGCAACTAATATTACAATCTTAATGAATGTACAGTACTGTATTTGAAATTTATTAGTCATAATTTTTACCTTTCAAAGATATACAGTATACTGTACTGAAGTCGAAGAAAAAAGTTCCACTACACTTACCACACCTTATGTTCCAAAACCCAAGCCAAAGAGTTTTGGTCAAATTTCCTGTTGAAACTCAAACCATGAAGTTTCGCTGTCACTTTACCCAAATTCTTCGTCATGGGTTTTGGAAGATAGTGCTAGGGGGGTTGTAACGCAATTTTTTCTTTGACTGTACAGTACCGTACGTGTATACAGGCAATATTCTTTTTCTTTTTCTTTATACTGAAACAACACAATTTCCATTGGTTTCCATAGTTTACTCTGTCCTTAATGTATATGTACTGAAAGAATGGTCAATTTTTGTTAGGTTGAATAGGAAATTTCTGCACAATTTCCTTCAAGCTTCAGTCCTAATTCTGGCAACACATTGAAAACATTTGTTATGGAGTACATTAGGAAACTCCACTAAACAAACTACTGTAAGGGAGAGTTTTAGGAATATTGTACAGTATTGGGAGTCTTGCTTAAGCATAAGCATTTAATTGTACTGTATAGATTGAATACAAGTAAATGCTTGGTTTATATAAAGATGATTCTTCTTTCCAGGACCAGATGGCCCAACAAGGAAGCTGCCACATGTACAGCAGCTCCTCTGTGATGACCATGACGACAGGACCTGATGGTCGACCACAGGTGGGTAAAGTAGAAGGCACACACTGTATGATACTCATGATGCACCATGGCTATTCCTCTCAAATTTTTGGAGATAAAATAATGTGTTCTACAAATGACTGCAAATTTGAATATTATCATTATTTAATTTCGGTTATATAATCCACAGTACTGTACATGTAATATTTATTTTTTATATCACATTCATTAATAAAGGTGTTAGTATGACTGAGAAAGATTGACTTACAGACTCTGCAGTCGCGATCATGGTATACAATAATGTGTGGTTGTCAGTTGTGGCTCTTGCTTTGAGTTGCTTAGTTTCTCGGGTGCTTTCAGTTTATAGTACAGTATAGGATTATAGCCATCATGGAAATGAATGATTCTCAACCTAGTACAGTAAGTCCTCGCTTAACGTCGTGGTTCCATTCCTGAAAACCGCGACATTAACGGAATCAATTTTTCCCCATAAGAAATGGATAAAATACGGAAGTTACCTTCCCCAGCCTCCCTTTGCCCCATGAAAATACATTACAAATACAGAAATTCATGGAATGTTTATAGAAAATAGTATATATATAAATAAACTAAATCATTTAGTATTGTACTCACAGATGGGTGGAGGTGGTGGAGCGAGTGTGTGGTGGGTAGTGAAGCGCAGCAGCAATATCCACCGAATGTTCACCTTTCTCAAATTGGTTTAAAACATCCATTTTCGTAGCAAGGCTTATGGTCTTACGTTGCTTCTTCACAACACTAGCATCAGTAGCACTTGATGGGCGCTTGGAAGCCATTTCGAATGGTTAGAGTACAGTATTAACCCTCTCGGCCTCGCACGGAGCCATTGTGGCGTCGAACATAAAAGGCGAAAAAAATTACGCAAAGCCTCGTGATGCCTAAGTGGCATCTAATGAGCTATATTTTCAAATAACTCAAAACTTTTCAGTGAAACTGACTGAACTTTGGACGCCATTTGACAAGACGTCATTTTCTTTGTGTGGGCCTTATCACCTTCCCCAAGACGGTCTTGATCATTGTGTGTGTGGCGGCGCAGCATGAAGCCAGTGTTGCTCTGGCCATTAGAGCGAGAGGAGGATGCGCCGCTCAGCCCTTTAATTATTCCATGAGTTTTTGCGTTATATTATTTTTCCTTTTACCACTATATTCTACAGGCTTTGTTCTTTATTTTGGTATATAGTACATATCAATGAACACCATAATACAAGGAAAATGAGAATGGAAATTAAGATGTTACTAAAATTTTCCCACTTTTTCAATTTATACTCGACAAAAGTGGCTTAAATTTCACGATTTTTCAATTTTTTATGGTTTCATATAATTTTTCAGACAAATTGACGCTAGACGAGACACCATTATAATTAATAAAACAATTCCATGGCAGTGAAATGAGCCCTAAAAAATAAAAAATAAATAAAGGATTTTTCGGCAAAAACCTCTGAGGCTGAGCGTAAGTGCACATGTGTCTCTCAGGCTCTGAGGCTGAGAGGGTTAAGTGCAAAAACACTTGAACACGCACGAACACTGTGGAAGCCTAACAAAGACTGGGGATGCTGTGATGCTCCGCGAGTGAGAGCATAGTGGGCCAAGGTGAGAGAGGGTGATGCGCCGTACAAAGTAGTCCGTGACGACGTTATACTCAATCGATGGGACGTTATCCGAATCGTGAGCGTCTAAAGAATAGCGATGTCATAACGAAACAACGTTTTCGGGGGCAACTTTAAATGAGGACTTGCTGTACACGTAGACAACAGATGGAAGCAGTAGAGTTGGTTAATTAACGATGTAACAGTAACTGCTGCTGATGAAGACAGTCATTGTGAACAGAATGTTGAAGGACAAGGAGGTGCAACCATGGCTGTACATTACTGTACTTCACATTCAAAGAAACAACTGGTGATAACTTGAAATTTTGGTGTGAACTTGTCACCGTGTAGTCAAATTTTTTTTCACAAATTTGGGCCAAAACAACTTGGTGGTGCCAAGTCTGCTTGCTTTAGCACCTGGAATAGACCTTATTTAGGTTGATCAACATTTAAATCCTGTAATCATCATTCATGTAGCTACATGTATTTCATTATAAGTAATGAATACTGGACTGTAATTTTATTTATTTTTTTTTTTTTTACTGTTACAATCACACACAAGCGTTCATACAGAATGTGTAAAAAGAAATAAAAGATGAAGGCCTCCTTCAGCACTGGAAAGAGCACTACCATTTATTAATCAACCGAAACACCGATGTGGATGTCCTGACTACCCAGCAGGTCCCTCGGTATTCAGAGCTGACCCATCTCGGCTATCCTCCATCCCTGGATGAGGTAGCTACTGCCATCAAACTGATGAAAAATAACAAAGCCTCAGGACCTGATGGAATCCCAACCGAGGTGTATAAAGCAGGAGGACCTCTACTCTCTCCTGGAGAATATATGGGAAAATGAGGAAATCCCTCAAGCTCTTAAAGATGCCTCCATTGTCAATATTTGTAAGAACACGGGAGACCGGTTAGACTACGGCAACTATCGTGGGATCTCACTGCTGTCCGTAGCTGGCAAGGTTATCGCCTGAGTCCTCCTAAACAGACTTCTTCCTGAGGCAGAAAACTTCCTCCCAGAATCTCATTGTCGCTTTAGACAAGCACGTGGCACCACTGACATGATTTTTGCTGCCTGCCAGATACAGGAAAAGTGCAGAGAACAGCGTCGTGACCTGTACATGGCCTTCACTGTCCTCATCAAGGCCTTCGACTCGATCAACAGGGAAGCCCTCTGGTGAACCCTCAGCTGTTTTGGTTGCCCACCAAAATTCATCGCCATGGTGAGGCAATTCCACAATGGCATGAATGGCAGTGTCCTGCACAATGGCACCCAGAGTGAGTTCTTCCCCATCCAAATGGGGGTAAAACAATGATGTGTACTGGCGCCAACTCTCTTTTCCATTTTCTTGGCTGCCTTCCTTACTCATGCCAGTGCCAATTTAGCTGGAGGGGTGGATATCCAGTACCGGATGAAGGGTTTTTCAACATAAGATGACTCCAGGCAGGAACAAAGGTGTTGGCAGATTCCATTACTAAACTTCAGTATGCAGATGACCTCGCCCTTGTTGCTCACACTGAACACAACTGACACAAGATTCTGAACATCTAAGCAGATGCGTATGCACACTTCGGCCTTGAGGTGAATGTACGTAAAACTTGGATTCTAATTCAACCTGCCCCTGGTTCAGACACACCTCCACCATCCTTCCAGCTTAACAGTACTACCCTCTCTAAGGTTACCCACTTTCAGTATCTCTGCTCCCACCTGTCCACCACCGCGGACATCCATGAAGAGATTCAACATCGGATCAGATGTGCATCTCAAGCCTTTGGCAAACTCCTTACCTGTGTCTTCAGCTGTAAGGAGCTGAAATTATCTATAAATTTGCATGTATAGCATGCAGTGGTTCTCTCCATTCTGCAATATGGCAGCGAGACATGGGTCACACAGGTAACACCTCAAGGCACTTGAAAACTTTCACCAACATGATTTATGTTCCATCCTCCGAGTTTGCTGGGAAAACGAGAACAAATGCCAGTATTCTCACTGACACTAACTGTAGGAGCATCAAGGCTACCATTATCCAGAAACAACTATGCTGGACTGGCCATGTTACTGCATGGACGACAGTAGACTGCCAAAGCATCTACTTTACATTCACCTAACAAATAGTAAACTTAACGCTGGCGAGCAACTGAAGAGGTATAAGGATAGTCTTAAGACAAACCTGAAAAAGCGCCACATCGACTCCTTCACCTGGGAGACGATTACTCCACACCATAACGCTTGGAGGAGCACCACACGAGAAGGTGTCAATGCTTTCGACTTAGCCTGACTGCAAACCTAGGCAGACAAGCGCCAACGCTGGAAAGACACTGCCACCGCCCTACTCGCATTAGATGTAGCCCCCACCACCACTACACGGGCAATATCTGTGAATGTCCCTGCTGATCCCATATTGGCCTCTCTAGTGCCCACCCAGGCACAGTTCACCGACCCACATTGGGGCCTGGGGGGAGAAAAGTAGTAATAATAATAATCATTCATAGTAATTTATAATACAGGTTGTACCTCTCTAGTCCGGCAACCTCGGGACCTGACCGGTGCCAGACCATGGAAATTTACCCCTGAAACACCCTACATAAAGCATATAAACATAAGATAGGAAATAAATAAATAAGAAAAAGTAATACGGTTAAAGTACTATTTAATTTACCTTTAATGTTGCCATAATTCTGCTTCCAATGCGAAGTGATGGTTCTGTAACTAAAATTACATTTGAGTTACATCAGGGATGTTGGCTATTGGGCAAACTAAAATCGTTCTGGATCACAGAATGCCGCACTAGAGAGGTACAACCTGTACTGTAAAAGATACACAAAAATGAAATAATAAAATAATAATGATAGCAATAATAATACTAATAAAAAAATAATAATAATAATGATAATAATAATAAAGAAATACAAAAATGAAAACAAGATCAAAAGTGAGAAACACGACCTAGACCTATGAATTATTATTATTATTATTATAATAATAATAATAATAATAATAATAATAATAATAATAATAATAATAATAATAATAATAATAATAATAATAATAATAATATTTTCGCCCCCCCAAGCCCCAAATGTGGGTCGGTAACCTATACCCGGGTGGGCTAATTCCCATAAAAAAAATCTAAAGTAATCTTTCTGAAATCCGAAAAATTCCGAAATCCGAAACACATCTGACCTCAAGGATTTTGGATAAGGGATTGTCAACCTGGTATTTATAAAATCATAAAATCAAGGTTTTCCTAGACACAGTAATCCTTCCAGGCAGGAATGGCATAAAGAGTGAGCCATTAAGAGAAAATTACTCCAGTAATCCAGGATTTCTTGTTGGCATGTTCCTTAGAAAATGTTGAATCTGCATGGTGCCTTTGAGTAGAATCATTTTCATGTCTTCTCCAAGCAGTGTTAGATGATCTTTTGCTGCCTTAAAACTTGGCATTGACTTGTACTTCCAAGAAATGAAAGTTCACTCAGACACATGTTTCCAGAAAAGTCTGTTTCATCTTCATTAAAAACTTGCTGAGCACCTTTGTCAATAATTTGCCTAAGCTCATCAGGCAATGTTGCAGTAAGTTAAAGAGTTTGTCTGTCGTTAAAAAAATCTTTACTTTTCAGTTTTACTTAAGTTTTCTTCCTTCAAAATTATTTAAACATATTGTAAGAGTTTAGTTTTAGTACTGTATAGCTATATAGCTAAATGTCTTAAGTTAATTTGATAGTTCACATATCATCTTCATCCTCTTGTCCATACAAGCCATTCAGGGGACATAGTTTTAGCAGTTTTTATTTTATTTTTCTACTAAACGAGAACAATGTTAAGTTAAAATCCTTCATCATGAGCATGCCCTTACAGGTTTACCAGGCTACATCCTCCACCAGGGGAGTTCCTGGTGGTGTGAGGGAAACACGCCGAACAATTAATGACAGTCGAACTGGCACACGAAAGATGGCAATTGGTCATCACATTGGAGAGCGTTCTCATATTATAGAACGTGAGCATACTGCAAGGAATATGGAGGAGAGACAGGAATTCATTAACCTTGAAGAAGGTAAGCATTAAATCAGTTGATTCATAATGTTTGTGTTATATGAAGAGTAAGTTCTTAGTATAAAAGTTCTCCAGTCTATGCCGATTAAACACTCATGGTTAACAACAAGTGCTGGTAAAACTGGTCTGCTCCCAAATGTAGCTGTGAACTGCCATTTCGAGACCAAGGGAATGAATGATTCCCTATCCGGTTTCAAGCCTGAGATATAACCTCTCATGCCCAACACTAGGATATATAAAAGACACATTGCTCTATAAGCAGCACACACTAATCATTAGTGCTCCCACTGAAAGGGAGACCAAAGTACCTTTCCAAAAGAAGAAGAAATTCAATAAAAGATGGAAAAGTTAACCTATACCTTCCATGACATTTCATCACCACTGTCCTCTAGAAAGGGAACGCCAAAATGCTGAATAATTAGCTGCTATGGCCTGTATACGACTAGACAGCAAGTTTCCACTCCTAATGGTGAAAACATCACTGGATTCACCATAAATTGGGTAATGTGTCCCTTATCAGGACCGGGGCTTACCTTTATGGCTGCTGAAGGTTTCCCTAAGTTGAAAATTTTTTTTAGTAGTTGCCAGAATAAAATGACAAAGTGCAAGAATTGCTTCGAAAGGGTAGTAATCTATAAAGATATTACTCCTATCACAGCCAACTAGAAGCATGCAAATAAGGGTCTAGTTTTGTAAATGAGAAATGTAAGTCTAAGACATGCTGGACTAAAGGAAGAATTCCCATCAAAAGAGACAGGCAAAGCACATTGTTTGCATGATAATGTACCCTGCTATCAAGTACTGCATGCCTCTTGGGAACTGGCAAGCTTGCAGGGTGGTTGCCACTTGCTCATCCACTCTGCCATTAAAAGGGATGTCATACCTCAGATCTCTAATCATGATATTTTTTCTTGTAGGTGATGCAGGTATTAATATATTAGTACTCTTTATTAAAAAATATAAATTGTGCATATTAAATGCTGATAATTAATGCTCATATTTTTTAAGAGATAGAAACAAAGAAAATTAAAAAAATAGGCATTGATAGTTCTGAAGTCACAAAAAATATAAATACAGTATACTGTACAGTATATAAAATAATCATCCAGCAACCCTTTTCTTCTTTTGGTGCTTGCTGTGATATCAGCAGAATAGGTCTACAGTAATTTATATTGATGTTAACAATATGTAGAAGCCAAGGAAAATTTGTCTCTAAATATTTACAGGTAAAAATTTTGCTTGAACACTTTACACAACATAATTTAATTGGGAAATAAACAGCAGAGGGAGTCCTGTTTTATGAAAGGATTGTTCAAATTTTTTTTACATAAATAGAACAACTGTTTAAATATAAAATATAGGAATGATATACATGAACTTGCTCAATAAAATCAAATTCTTTAACAGAAGAGGCACCTCAGTTTGATGATGAATTTCGCCGCCGCACCCAGCAAGCCATGGGTGTTGGGTCATTGGAATACCGACCCAGACACCGCCCCTCATCCTCCTACAATCCTCGTGTTTCCAGTGCTCCAGCTATAACTTCCTCTTCCAGGTAAAAATGGATATTAATAGTCTACATTTATATCTTTGTGGGTATGTATATGCATGTGTATACACATGATTTTTCTTATTTTATTTGTGATCCCATGAGATTAAACTCAGATGCATCATGCAAGATGCTCAGGGTATTAATGTTTTCAGGTCTGACACACTGTACATTGTTTTGTTTTTTCTCTCTCCCCTTTTTAGCAAATGTAGATCAGGTTGGTGATGGCTTAATCTTAGTTTCTTCACTGGTAAAACAGTCATATTTTGCATAAAAATTTACGGCTTGCCTCTCTCCGCCATCATAATCCTTGGGGTGTATTGGTATGACAGTACCTACATATGCTTGTGGGTGATACACTGTGGTTATATTTTGTTGCACTTTGCATTTGTTTTCATTTAGCCAGTAACATTGTTTTAGTTTACTATATAAGAATTACAGTACAGTACTTACATTTTTTGTAATTTTTTAAAAGAGTCCAGGTCTTTTTGAAAACTAAGTACAGTAAAAATCCTGAGTATCAGACCCATCTGAGTAACTACATGAATTTTGGGGAAAAAAAAAAACTCGTGTCATTGTTATTGTTGTAGAGCGATGTAGCATGGACCGTTTGGGCCCACCCACATCACAACAACACACAGCCACGCTGTACTCATTCTGCATGTGGCTATTACTCAGTATAGGCCTGTTTTCTCATGACATATAAATACACACATTGCGATAGCAATGTCCAAGCAAGTACGCTCGGTTAAGGGGTCAAAGAGCAGAAAGCGCCTTACCAGGAAGGATAAACTTGAAGTGCTAGCCATGGTCTACAATAAACACTCTGTTTCCGAGATAATGCAGAAATTTGGAACTGAATATACTGAAAGCATACCATAAGTGCGATCAGCTTCATCTCCACTGAAAGTGGGTCCCATACACACCCACATAATGTAATATTCACTATATAACACACATTGCTGACTCACTGTGGCCTTGAGATGGCTACCGTATACATGTTACCACTGATTCATGTAATGAAACTGTAAAAGTTGTGGGAAAATCGTTTCAGTACTGTACTGTAATGTGACTTGGATATACTGTAAAGGAAATATAATGTAAAACTATAAAAAAGATAAAGAAATATGAAGAGCATGAGTGAACAGTATTGTGTGTGGGGAGTAAACGTATATATGGATGCGTCACGCTATTCCCAGTGTGACGTCACAGCATACACAATGTAGCATCTACGCATCTCAAGTCAGCTGGCACCTGATTAGGTGAACTCATCCACTCTCGGCCTCACCCATGGGATGGTTCAAAGGCGAAAGAAATTTTTTTGTTAATAAAATGTGTGCTACAGTATTGTATTTTATTGCTTGCTATATATTTTTTCAGTGTTTATTATAGCAATTTTTGCTCAATTTTGGCATATGTAAAATACAGAATAACGAGGGACTGGAACCTATTCCCTTTTACTCATTGTTTAATCTACCCATGACAACAACGTTCCCAAGAATAAAGTGAATTTCGCGAACATATCTACATCATTGCCAGAGAGATACTGTACACATCCACATCAGCCACATTATCACACACTGCACAAGGCTATCCATACCACATACATATGTACATCGGGATTTGGGAACCTTAAAGCATCTTCTCTGTAACTCTGAAAGCTTCTAGAATCTAGAACCTTACCTACATCTATTAACACTTTAAATGAAAAAATTTATTTTGCTAAAAGTATATCATAAGTATGATTGTTTTACTTGAACTGTGTTACGTGTGTTAGTGTAATATGTGGATATGCGGGCTGTTTTGAACAGGTGTGCCTCCCTGTTGATATGGACATCTGAGTAACGGATTCCATCTGATAAACAACATCGCTGTGGCATAATTAGTCCAGTACTTGGGATTTTTACAGTAGTGACTTTCCTTAACAGATCATTGATAAGGTCCACAACATATTTTTCATTTCTTGCTTTGAACAGTGTTACTAAAGCACCTATTGCATGAGTATAGTACAGGTGTATCCTGATAACTGACACATATAGGGACCAGGAAAAGTCGGTGGCTAGTGAATCAACGGTTATCTAAACAATTAATCCCATAAGAATATAACAATTTCAAGGGGTTAGGGGCCAGCCACCCTCCAAGAAACTCCCATCTACCCTTGATATATCTCTGTATTGCACATTGTCAAGCAAGAAAATAAAGCAGACATATAAAGCAAGCATAATAAGCCTTAAATAAGCAATGTTAAACATGATTTGTGACTTATTTACCTGTGTTGAGGATGGTAGAGGCAGTCTAGGGTGTCAAGTTCATCTCTACCACTCTTTGCTGGTCTATCACCACTCTTATTATACCTTATTATGCCTTATCACATCACATCAAGTTGCTTTGCCCAAGAGGAACTATCACAGGGGCATTTAGACATGATTGAGTAACACACTAAAATGGTGGGAATGAGTCAGGGCAGTGCGCAGAGCCCTCTAGTGGCAAGAATTCACACCACGCCACCGCCCGCCAAATTCAAAACAGCTCTGCCACTCCTCACCCGATCATCGGATCTCTGGGTATCAGCGAAACTTGTAGGGTATTTTCCCCTATATGGAATTGTAGGTTTTGCGAATTGGTAGTCAACGGGACATCGGTTTTTGGGGTACACCTGTACATACATTGCTCTTCCAGACAATTAATGGCATAGGATGGTCTGAATAGTGGAAATTCCATTGTATACTCAACCAATGAGAGTCTGACTCTGGTTAGAGAATGAGAAGTGTGCCAAAGTGCACATTATATTTTTTTTCTATCTAAAGTACACATTAAGGTATTACAGGGGTCAATACACATTCATAAATATTTCAGGTTACTACAGTATATTGGCTGTACACTAGCGTACATTGAAACCAGAGGATCACTTATTTATCACACCAAATTATTAACAGTACTGTACTGGTTCAGTAATCCACACCATAAACCACTAGGAGCTATCAAGTAGAGGAAGCATCTATTACTACCCTACTGATCATTTGTTTGTTTAAAAAGGAGAGCAGTTTATTTAAAACGATTGTTTTAAATTTTATGAATTGCAGTACAGTATATTAAATTCAAGATGTAAAGAATATTGAACAGCAACTTTTCACAGTTTAAATAAGCTTAATAATTTGTGTGGTATAAAGTAGAGCAGTACTGTATGTAGCAACCTCATACACCTTCCTGAAGCCACAGGGATCATTTGTTTGTTACTTATGATATTTAAGATCTACTTTTTCGACAACAATTGGTATTGAAGAAGATAAGATAGTGGAGCTACTTGACTACAAATGTCCAGGGTTCTGTAATTATACTCATACAAATGTGCCTGTTCTCATCTATTCATCTCAGAATGTATGATTTAGAACAATGAGATGTCAAGAAGTGTTTAAAGTATTGAACATTTACTCATCAACTTTTTGTGCTATGTTCTTAACAAAGGTGTACAGTATTTGTCATAAAATAACAGTGTGTCAACCTCTGCAGGCCAGCCATTGCGTATGCTTCTTTGTTATCATTTCTTATTTAGCATCATGAACATGATAATGAAGTAAATTAAGAGTTTAGTGTTCTGTTTATTGTTGAATAGAATAAACAATAAAAGGCTAAGATGATTATTATTATAAAAAATGGCAACTTGAGTCACTGTTTAGCTGCATTTCATTACAGAAATCACACATAGTATTCCTTTTAATTGTCCTTAGGAGCTCTTGCCAAAATTATGTAGAAAAATAGTAAACATACTAAAATATAGTACAAATAAGCCTACAAAGTGATTCGTCCCTTTGTTCACAATATTTTCATACACTTACATACTACCAATATAATTTTACCAAGGTGATTTTTTGTTTCTTAATAGTATCCATTGATCGGTGTCATTTTGTTAGAAAATTTTTCTTAACAGATGTACATAACTAAAATGAATGTCTACACATTCTAAAGCATAGTGATGCGCCTTGCCATGCCTTGCCAAGCTAAAGGCTGACCAATGAGCTTATATTATCTTCATTGCCATGTTGTTGTTCTGGTATTAATTTAATAAAAATATAATGACCAGAGAATCCCCAGTACAGTCTTACAGCATTCTGGATGTCCATGTGGCTGTACTGTACTGTACTGTACTCCTTAACTTCAATTTGTAAAGGTTATTTTATGTTTCTTGAATGTAAATGTAAATTTATCATTCATTCCTTAGGGGGTATCAGCATACTAGACATGAAATGTTCTTCATATGCTGTCAATGAGAACAGTATCTAGGAAGCTGGTTCCTGAATCCTGATTCTGTTGTACAGTTCAGTACTGTGTACAGTACAGTATGTCCAGTGCAAATTATGTGGGCACAATATGAAAAGAAGTTTGCTTATGTGAGATAATGAAGGGCCATTAAATTATATATTTTTCAGGTACAGAAGCCGATCTCGACCAATGCTTTCCATCACTGCTGGCCCAAGGTAAACCCAGGAAAACATCGGGTTACCCTGGTAAAGGTGTCGGCTCTTTTCTTATCGTTGGGTATATGGAAGACACTGGTGATAATGCATTTTCAAAATCCTTGCAGTGTAAATTACAGCAAGTGAAAATAATTATTGGAAAGTATTGTAGTTTAATAATTGGGTTGTTCTTTATTTTTGTGTGTATTGAACTTGTATTAGTATCAAAATTTTATAAAATACAGTCAACCCTCGCTTTACGCAGTCCCACATTCCGCGTTTACGCGGTACCCTGCCGAAACAGGAATGCTCACATTCCGCGGTGCATGTACCCCTTTACGCGGAGAGCGGCTGGCGAGCCGCGCCATTTTTGGATCCAAACCTCCCGCCATCCGCCATGTTGTGTAAGCGGCGCGAGCATGGTGCGCACAAGGTCACCCAGTCATCAAAACATTACCGAGTTCTTCACCCGCCACCCACCACAGCCAGCCCAAGTCAGTGATAGTGATAATTATAGTGAGGATATGGACTTTGAGGGGTTTGACAAAGAGGCCCTGCAAGCCTCTGTGGTGGATAGTGATACAATTGATACAAGTGATACAGGTGAGGACCAATAATCTGCCCTCTGCCTCGGAACCAACCCCCCATCCCCGTGTGCCCAGCCATCTTTTCTACTAATGTAAGTGTTAAAAAACCTAATATTATTGATATTTCTCTTAATTATTAATTGTGTGTGCATACCATCATAAAGTTAAGATAATATTTTTACTACAAAATAGTTGTGTGTCGTCAAAAAGTGGAGTTTGGGGGTCGGCCTGGTCTCTATTTCAATTAATCCCATATGTTATGTTGTTCACTTTACGCGTTTCTCACTTTCCCCGGTACCCCGTGGGTTGAATTAACCGCGTAAAGTGAGGGTTGACTGTATTTATTTATAAATTGCCCCTCTCTTACACTGGTCCAAAGTTGGAGATCAAGGATGGTGGAACAATTCCCTGTTATAAGTGTTTACAGAATTGTCAGTAAAAGAATGGAGTAGTATGGCTGGTGAAAATAGGAAATGAATGACAAGTCAGTAGTTTATATGAATGTCTTGTAAATGTGGGATGGGAATGTTGGAAGTGGTAGGAGGAGGAATAGAGACTTGGACTTACAGTCAGTGTAAAAAAGTAAATAAATACTGTATAATTTGCAAGCAGTGAAGAGTTTCATAGAGACTGACAGTGCTTGCCTATACAACACAATAGTTGACATAAATGCTTGTAGTGAGATACAATAAAAGAGTACATGCTTAGTTGGTATGAAGAAGTGGAGAAAGAATGGCATACCAAAAGTGAGATACACGGTAGAGGGAGATTCATGGAAATTAGGAGGTAGATTAAGGATGTGTGTTAGTAAAATAGATGTACAGTAGAAGCAACTCAGATATCTAAAGGGGGATGACATACATTACTCCTCATGATCCAGGAGTAACTTTGAGATGAATTCATTTAATTTTAGTCTTAAAAATGTGCATAAAGAGGTCATATATAAAAAAAAGAACAACACAATTCCTTAATAAAATCTTTTCTCAAGATGGTATTTAATACAGTAAGCATGATAAAAAATAGGTTGTCTTCCATATATCCTATAAAGTAATACTAACCAACTAACATTGTGTGTTTCTGTTTCCTTTTAACTAACAAGGTTGTTATTTCATGTATACAGGTTCTGATGCTGGGCTTGTATCTGCATCCCACTACTATATATATCTAAGTTGGTATAAGTGTGTAAAAGCTCTTATGATTTTCTAGTCAGTTCACTTTGTCAGTGGCAGAGTAACCTTAGCAGTGGCTCTACATCCACCTAAGTCTCTTGACTTTCAGCATGTTGTCTTTTTCCATTTCTGATCTACTAGACCAATTTGTATTAAACTTGGAGAGGACATTCCCTTTAACTATTTATACTAAACACGTTCATTGTTGATCTAAGCAAAAGTTTCTTGCAGTTAAACTAGCAAAAAAACAAAACAAAAAACAACTTTTCAGAATCACTTTATGAAGTACCATGAAAGGTTGAACATATTATCTGTTAAGAGAGGGGTAAGTCATATTTGTGAGTCCTTCATGAATAAAAACGTCAGAGCATTTTGGCAATCAATTTTGATAATACAAGTAGTCCTCGTTATTCGTATGGGTTTCGTTCCTAAAAGTCCATTTGTATAACTACTATACGAATAACGCAGCAGATTTTCCAATTTAAATTAATTTAAAAAGGGGGGTTAAGGACCTAGCAAGTCAAGTTAGGTTACATTTATTGAGTAATCTGAAATAAAAAGCACAGAAACATGTACTAATCATATAAATACTGTATAGCAATAAATAAAATTCATTCAACAGTAAATAAAAGTTACCAGTATTGTAGAGTAATTCTACCTCCAGTGGAAAGCAAAAGGTACCCACACTTGATGGACTGTACCAATAATCTGAAGTTCTTCGAGTATGGTACAGTCTCCCCTCCTCATTACTCTCCAACGTCACCTCCTTTGCCAACAAATTTTACGAGCTCGCCACCACAGTCGGTTCAGTTACTGCCAACATCATTGTTATCTGTGAGGCTTGGCAAATTGTTCCTGAGACCTGCCACATTGAGGGATATCAATTCTTTCACCACCTCCATACATATGGGCATGGTGGGGATGTTGCTCTCTCCCGTCAGGATCATTTATGTCCGTCACGCCTGGATGTTATAGTCTCAGTTGATATGGAGGTATTATGGGTACATGTTGTATCATGTGCTCACTCCCGCCACACTGCCACGCGCACCCACCAGAGGCACTCTTTATCAATCACCTCACTACTTCAGAGTAAGATACCCATGTGCCAAGCTACTACTCTGTGGGGATTTTAATGAAATTGACACCACTGATTTTGGGGACCAGCTTCTATCACAAACTGTGAACTTCTCTATGCACAGTCAAAACACTCTTGATCTTAGCAGACCAGTACCAACCACCTCAATCAATACCTCCTATTGGGTGTACTATACACCTATCTGTGTTTTTGGTCTCCAGCCACATGCAGAGCCCTTTCATCAAGACCTACAGGCTGGTTACTAACTCTGCAATGCATCTGTTCGTGCAGTGTATAGTTCACCATCCCTGGCCTGAAGTACATAGACACCAAATGGACAAATTACATCAACGCCACCACGGAAGCTCACCACCACTTCTTCCCTGAGAAGTCTGTCAGATTACATTCAGATTACACCCAGCTGAGCTGCCCTGGATCACACCTTAGATCAAAAGACTTATGCGGCAGAGAAATGGTGCTTTTAATCTCATTGACAATAAATGCTACAGGTCCCTTTGCAACAAAGTCACCCGTGAAAATGCGCACTGCAAAGAAGTCTTACTACCCAACCAAGCTGCAACACCTAAACCAGTCCAACATCAGTCATTGGTATGGTAAGCTTAAAGAACTCTGGACTAAACAATAAGACACACCCCCTCCCCTTCTTCAGCCACTTCACTTATGGTGACACAGCTGAACAATCTAACAACCATTTTGCAACTATACAAGTATACCGGATGTTCCTCACTCAGCTTGACACAACTTGTCTCCCTGCTTACCTACCAGTCCCTTATCCCACTGACTTAGTGGATGAATTTGAAGTAGCAAGGCTACTGGACAAATTCAGAATCAAGCACTCCACCACCCCCATTTACCTACCAATGCAGCTCTACAAGGAGTTCTCCCCAGAACTAGCTAAACCCTTCTGCTCCATAATCAATGCTTCCTTCCCTCAGTTAAGCTAGTTGCCAAGCTGATTGGAAGACTTTGAAAGTGTCACCAGTGCCCAAATCAATAGTCCACAACCCTTAAACAAGTTACAACCTATTGCCATTACCTCAATACCCAGCCTAATCTGTGAAAGGTTAAATTTTGACTTAGATTATGCTGATATTGGAGGCACCATAGATTCTCAGCAATTTGGCAATATGAAAACTTCCTCCATCACCCACTCATGTCAGCTTTCTCAGCTAATTATACCACCATTTAAAGAAATGCAAGACATCTGTAGCAGTTGCCTTCATTGACTTCACCAAGATAATTCGAGCTAATCAACCACAATTTACACTATTTTACGGCATCTAAGACGCCTGGGCATATGAAATGCAGGGAATACGGTATACTGTACTCCCAATTTAATGGAATCCAATATAACAAACTCTTGATTTAGCGGAAGGAATTTTTTCTGTTATTTTTCGCTCGGTTTAGTGAACTAGTTCGCTCAATCGAGATTAATTCTGTTAATAAGCTCACACCTACAGACACCTCAGGTACATGATATGTACATAGAACAATTATTCATGGTTTACCTTAAACAAGGGGGGATCAATGTTTCTTTTCAATTTTTCTTTTACAGTATTTCCAAACTTTTCCAACTGATAGCCACACTCTTTTGACTTTCTCCCCCACACCACTTCCTTTCTGAGACTTCTGAGAGACTTTTGGCATGATGTCTAAGCACAGTAGTTAAGTGACTGAGAGGTATCAGTGAACAACACACGCAGTGGCGACAGGACACAGACTGAGCGGATGTAAACAAACCCCACGTGCTAAGTGGCGCATTTGGCTCATAATTTTACGAAATCAAGCTCGATTTAGTGAATTAGTTCACTAAATGCTGTACTTCAGAAGAAAAAAAATTGTAATTTCCTCCTGTAGCCATAGTTTTCTTAAAATAATATATACAGTACTGTACCAGTAAATGTAAGGAATAAATAAATAAGTTAAAACAAAAGATACTGGATTGCCATTTGGCTGCTGGATAACAAAATTCGTCATTACCCTATAGTTTCACTACACACGGAAGACAGCTCAGAACAACTGAGATCCCTCACTCTCCCTCCTCTTAACACATGAAAAAAGTGTATTCCCTTTTACATTTTGACCTTATGATAATTATTGATCTTATTTTTTTTACATTCTGTATGTAAGATTGAGTGTGCATGTAACATAGTAAAAAAAATAAAATTCCAGTTACGTGTATCTACCTGAAATTACGAGTTGAAAAATAACCATGATATTGCTCTCAGCTTGACCTGGAGGGCTAGGGGGATGTGGCAATAGTGATGAATCTTGTGTAACTACTGTATTACAAATACAAAACTAATATAAAATACTGAAAAACAAGTAAAAAACAAGGAATATGATCACAGGTGTAAAGGAATGGCCTACATGGTAAGTCAAAAGGCTGAAGCAACTCATAACTCTGTCTCCTTTCCCAGCAATCTTAAACCATACCACCTACCTCTCTTATGTTATTCAACAATTGTGTTACTTCAAACAACAATTTTATACAATTTAGATAAAAAATGCAGCAAAAACCATTAAACTGAGTTAAAAAAAATGAAGTTATGTATACTGTACAGTATCTACCTGAAATTACAAGTTGAAATATAACCATAACATAATTCCCCTCTCAGCTTGCTAACTTTTTTCTTCTTTTTTTTTACGGGGAATAGCCCACCCGGGCACAGGTCATCGACCCACAACGGGGCCTGGGGGGCAAAAAAATAAGAGTAAAAAGAAATGAAAAAAGATTAAGTTAAGCTACACCACGAAGATGCTGGAAAACCAGCTTTTTAACGTGAGACAGATTGTGTGAGTATGGAAACACAGAAGAAGGTAGAGCATTCCACAGTTTGGCTGTGCGAGGAAAGAAGGATGTATTATAATGGGTTATTCTAGTGTGACCTACAGCCACAGCGAAACTGTGGGCACCGCCGGCAAGACGAGATTTATGAGCCCATGGCCTTGCCGGCGGTACACAGGATGCCAAATCCACCGAACATTGCCCGATAAAGTACCTGTAAAAGAGAGAGTGAAGTAAAATTGCAGCGAAGAGAAAGGGAAGAAAGATTATCAATTAAAGGAGGAAAGTTAATAAGACAAAATGCCTTTGATTCCACCCTATCTAATAGTTGGACAGAAAAGCTACCCCAGATATGAGAGCAGTACTCCAAGTTAGGACGAATGAATCCCTTATAAACTTGAAGCAGCTGCTCAGGAGTGAAGTAGCTACAGCATCTGTACAGTTGGCTCACAAAGAAATGTTTATTTCCTCTTATGTTTTTGACATTATGATAATTATTTTTTATTTATTTATTTTTTGTGTTTTGCACATTCTTATGACATACAGTAGGTGTGTTTTTACTTATTTTATTTACTCGTGTGTATACATTTTAAATTAAGAGAGAGTTCCCTTGTTTTTTTTTTTTTACCTTAATATCATCTAATGGTATGTCACTGAACCTTCAGTTTCCCTCTTGTAAATTAATTATTTGTAAGGTTTGACCGAAATAAACTGTATCGAGTTGACGAGGCAGGTTAATCTCCTTACTGGGCGATCATAGTCAAACGTGTTGCAGGTTTGGCTTGGACCAGACAGCCTCTGGTGTGCTTAGGGCGATCAGTTGCGGGGTACTGCCGTATGTTATCGTCCAGGGACCTGGCCCGCCTGGGTGAACGTCAGGCGAATTCAGCATATACACGCCCTGTTCCTCATTAAGACACGAGCTGACTCACCAGCGTCTCATCGCGTAGTACATAACAACATTTATTCCTATCAATTCCCATACTGTAATTACTTTCACTACATTATCACTCCTATGATTACCGCTGTCCAGTGGTAAAACTCCCCCCTTTGGGCGATCATGTCCAAGACAACAAGTAGCAGAAATTGATTAATTTGCGCCTTCTTCCTGTAGGCACAACTTGGTCGCTGGTCGAATCAAAGTGGTGCTTGCAGCCTCCAATAATTAGACATACTAGGCCATCATCACTGAGTCTTATCTCTATTGTCTGACTAATTATCACTGGTTCTGAGGCAGTGGTTCTTCAGTCACGATGATCAGATAATTTTGTTGAAAGAAGAGACTGATCCACCAAGAAAGTGCGCCTGTCCCCTTCGTATGTGGTACACTTCTCTAATGCTAATGCCACCCAGAGGTAGATTGGTACTTGGCTTCATGAACAAACACTGTGTGACTTGCCGTTGTTGCTGGGGTTTCTGATTGTTTGACGGCATGTGATAGTGGGTTTTTTGTATCACACACAATTGTTTTAAATAAGTTCTGGAACTCTTAAAGCGCTAGGGCTGATGTAAACACTTGTATGGGATCACTTAAGTTAGGTGTTCACCCCTTAAATAGTGACAAGAGTCTGGCTGTCTCCGAGCATGAGAGCGGGGAACAGCTGTCAAGCTATGTTTGATTAGTCAGCCTGACCTCGCTTGACTCCTGAGATAGTTACTAGCTTAGCGTATACTGTATAACGTGAATAACTACTCAGTCATTGTTGCATAACTTAGCGAATAATTTGGTGTTATACATTTGGGTGAATATTTATATAATGTAAAAGTGCTGTTACGCCGTTACACACGATTTCGTAATTCTGTCGAGTAGTTTGCAGACCTTGTGTTTCCAATATCCTTCACAAAAGAGTGTTGGGAGCCGTTATACAGTATGTGTAAGGCTACAGCCTGTTGGCCATGATGTAGCCTATTTTAGTTTAATTATTGTGATTTTTTCTTTCTTGTAACTATTAATCAGGAATCTAAGCCTTTCAAGTTAGACTGTTAAGTTGATACATAATTATCAAAGGAAGCAAAGTCGAACAACAATTACAGTAGAGTATACTGTATTAAGATCACAGGTGGCTAGTAGAGATGTGTTCATTGTTTCATACGGTGTAACTCTGAGCTCTGGGCTTCATTCAGTATTTATCGATGTTCACAAACAAAGGGGATTGTCATAGATTTTAATAAGATTATTTGATACTCATTGTTCCCTTACTAAAGAAACGTCAGATTAATGTACAACAGTTTCTTTTAGAGCAAGATTTTCTCATTTTCATAGAATGTATACACATGATCATTGTTATGTAATTAAAAGCAAAATCACTACGGTTCTTGAATTACTAATGATCTTTTCAATTTTTTTTTTTTTAGTGAGGATCGTGCTAGACGGCGTGATAGAGAAGAGCGAGGACATCGATCACATCGCCGCAATGAGCCAAACATGTAACAGCTGATGTTGTTATAATAGAATTTATCATTCATTGTATTTGGATTTCCTCAATATTTACTAATAGATATCATGTATCATTTATTATAGTGGATATTATATGAATAGGAACCAAACAGTTGATTTTAATATAATACTACAATTAGCCTTAAGAATGACTTAGTTTAAATAGAAAGAAAAGTGTAGTATAAAATATGTTGATAAGAACAGATAGCATGAAATGCATTTGTTGAAGGAAATAAATGAGTTGAAAAGGAAACTATTACTTGCATAGCGAATCCTGCTGTGCACAAAGTAGAATTTTCCATATAGTACAGTATGTTGTTGATCTTTTTTCTTCATATGGAGTCAGTACAACATCATTTAAATGTGTGTAAATATATTAGTCTATGATAGCATGAGCTAAGGGGACATGGAGTAATATATGAGAGCTAAAGAGAGAATAAAACTACCTTATAATTGATCTCAGATCCTGAAAGCAATGTGTTTCTCAATTATTGCCAATATAAATTGATTTTTCAGTCCTTGGACCATATTTTCAGAATACCTTTACATGTGCGTGTAGATTCATTATTATTACTGTTACTTTATTACACATTGATCTAAAAGCTGTTGACTATTCAGAACTATTGCAACCAGCTTTCTCTCTTGAATTGAAAACCAGTGATAACATTTATGCTCCCTTCACTTGCAGACAGTTAATGATTGTTTTTAAGTATTATGTCGTAGTTAGTATAAATGATATGAAATGAATAGCTCTAAGATTCTTAAAGGTGATACGAATGTTTTGAGAAGTGAAAATAGGATCATCCATCAGAATGTTAACATTCAACTCTGTATGGTTATCATGTAGGCCCATCTTCATTAAGTCACAGGTGTAGTGTAATTCTCAGTTTACAATACACAAGCAAGAAGCCTGAAAATTGCAATGAATGTAGGAACACATCAAGTATCATTGATTGTATGGTGTGTAGGATTGTTTATCACATGAGGGAATTTTGGTTTCCTATACTCCTGAAGTGAGGAGCCTAAAACAGCTGTATTTTTAATGAAGGTGTAAAAAAATCACCATTTTGTACTGCTGTATCCAAACATACTGTATTTATCACTGCCTGTGGCAAACCTCAAATAGTAAAGACTTTGATATTAGTTCCTTGACAGTAGTTTATATGAAATGCTAGTGTGTATGGTACCAGTAGGTGAATTACTTTTAATCCATACTTGCCTCATTATTGTGGCATAAAGAATATCCAAATGTCTTCATATATCTAGCAAATTATGTGTACAAATTTCTTTCAATCAGTGTGACTTCATCAGTGGTATTTATTTAACAGGTGAAGATAGTTTTTGTTTTCCTTACTTAAGCTATTATTTGTGTAGTATTAATCTTGACTAGGCACTTATTCCTTCTTTTCACAACATAGTGAAGAAGTGTTATAGTATTTGTGATTATTGTTAAAATCATAGTATTCTGCATATTATGTATAAAATATTAGTTGTCTATCCACAACAGTTACAGTATGGCACTGATAGATCCTGGACGTATTAAATGCAAAAATAAAATGTTTGGTGAAAGGACTTTAATATTTTCAAAATAGAAAAATTCTAAATACTTGTATAATAGAAAATACCTATTTTATAAACTAATGTGTAAAACTACATAGACTGACAGGAAAAATACTGAATATACAACCACTTATATACATAATATTTTATGGAATACATCTGGTAAAACATTAACATTCAAAAATAATTTGTATTTATTTATTTTTTGTTTTTTTAAGGTTTTATAGTTCCCATAAGGGAAGTGAACTTTACAACATACTTTACTGAATTAGTGCTGGTGGAAAATATCTACATTTAACTTTTCTTGTTTCTGTTGTGGTGTTATGTATTGTAGCTACTCACTGTATTGAGGTTGTCTTGACCCCACTACCTTTAATATTATAACCAATACATAATATTATGATAAGTGGATCATCTAGAACATGCAGTGTCAAAATGAGCTGTACAAAAGAGAGAGGTTATCATATCTGGTAAAAATGTTAACTCAAACATTTCTATACACCCTGTCTTTCTGTACTCCAGTGAACTACTTTTGAAAGAGATTTTATGGAATTTAATGAATATTGGAAAGGGACTGAATAGTTGTGATGGCGTGCTTATTGCATATGAAAATAGGACAAATAGTTTTTGTAAGAGCTACAAACCAAGAAACAATTGAAGAGCCAAATTATGATAGAAGAATAAAGTGTAGTAAGAAAAATATAATAACGCTATGGTTTATGACTAATTTGAGTGTAAATGAATGTTATAAGTACATTACCCAACAATCAAGGAGATTTTTGGATGCTGTTACTTAATTTCAAGTACAGTCAGCACCCACTTAATGTATATTAATGCTTTCCTGAAAATGTGCATGTTAGGTGGAATTACCTTATGTGGAAATTAATTTTCCATAGAAACTCATCTTATAAATTCAAATACATCACAGAATATTTTCACACCTTTTTTTTTTTTTTACCCCAAATTGCCTCATAACAATAATAGAATGGTGAAATATAAGCAAGTAAACTTAAAATAGTGAACAAGTTTCCTAACTTAAATAATTTTGTCCCCTTCTATACTCGACTTAAGGAATATTTATGGATGAGAAGAGGAATTATTACTTGGAGGTAGAGGGACAGCTCTCAGGGAATTTAGCTGGAGATGAAGCTGCAGTTTTATCCAAAGACTGTTGATGAGTTGCCTTCTTCATTTCATCATTAAGAATTTTGTAGGAAGCTATGGCATAGTTTATCTTTGCCTTTCACTATGGTATTTATAGTTGAAAAGGGCAAACCAAGCTCACAACTGATAGACACCATACTCTCAGCTCTATTTTAACTTTGTCTTCAAAAATAATAAGTGTACGGTTTCTTCTTAATACCACAAGATGCAGCAGGATCTATTTTACTAGCCTTTCCGTTTTTGCTTGAAGTACTGTACAGTACACTGTAAACACAACTAGCTGTGACTACAACCAAAGCAAAACTAACAACAAAACAAAGCAAAGTGTCAATGAGTGTTTGGCAGTGGACAGGTTCAGCACAGGTGCAATGTATGTACCTGCAGATGTAAGCATGTAAGGTTGGACAATTGGTACCATTATAAAATGTACATGCAGTTATACATACATTAAGTGGGTGTCAACTATACTCCAGCATGTGCCAGTTGTCAGTATTTCAGTACCAGTGCAAATTATAATAGAAATTATTAGACAGTAATAATGTGGAAATTACATTCGATATCACAATACATATTTGGTATTTTGTACCCTGTTCCCTGAGTATTGGCTTGGGCAATTAATAATTAAAACATATATTTGCAACACTGCACTCTGTTACAATGTGTCTTCAACAGCCCTAATGAGACCACAATCCACACATCCTAGACACACACGGCCACTGCAGGAGACATTTGGACTCGTGTAAGTTAAAGATATAAGCTGTACGTGATTTTAGATTTATACATGATTTGCCTAGCTTTGCATGTCGAAAATGATTGATTTTAAAGGTTGTTGTCCCTTTCCTCCTCTTATTTCTCTGTATTACAAATTAATCAGTATGTTTTCCCATATTGTGTGTTTCAAAATGTAGATGACTGATAATATATACTATTACTCAAGGTTAACACTGTATAAGTTCTAGGAGAAAAGGCAGATATTCACAGAATCATGTGCAAGAAGCGACTCAGGAAAATTAAAAATGTAAACATCTTAATTTTTTCTGTATGGAAGCTAACACACCAAAGAATATGCCACCATCAATGCCTTATAGTTGGATGTACTATTATGGATTTCCTCTTTCTGCTTCTTTGGACTTTGTTCAAAGCTATTTATTGAAAATAAATACTTTCAATGATTGGAGTCTTCATAACCTTAAGCAGTAGCTTGCAGTGCAGTCTTATTTATGCACATCAACTTTAAATATAAAAAGCTTTATAAGGTCTTAAGAACATTGGTTAGGTAACTTAAGTCCTAGAGTTTTGAGTTATTCTCTCTACAGGTATATCTAAACATACAGTAATTTCTCACTAACCAGAGTTTTGAGTATCCGTGTTTATTTATGTGTTATTTTTTTACACCATTCTACAAAGTACCATTGTACATGAGAAAACATGTACCTAAAACCGGTCACACTCGCAATAGGTTAGAACTGGTAGAGAGATGCCCACGGTGTGTTGTCTAGCTGTAGTGCTATATACCTCTTGCAAAAGATACTGTGGATTGCCACTCTCCCACTTCCGTCATTCGTGCTAATGATCTTGTGCATAGAAATGCTAGAGAGGACGCAACTTGGTGAACTTCATGTGCCCATGGTAGCTTCCCAGGATCAGCTGCTTTGATGACCTTCCGTAATATGAGGTCAATATGAGCTGGTGAACATTATCATAAGGTGTCGTGCTAGATAAACAGTGAGGAGAAATTAGCATCCCCAGTAGCTTGAATGTAAGCTCACAACGTAACTGTTGGACAGAAGGAATGATGCCGGTATAATAACATGAGTGAGGTGGTGTGTATGAGGGCAGCTTTTTAAATGTTTGATTGTTGCCACTAATTTTTATTTCTATAACCTTGTTTATATTTCTTTTATTCTTGTTTCTAAAGCCCCGTCCACACTATCTGACAGTGACTGGCGGACTGTGCCCTCATCGTGCACAGTTTGTCGGGCATGACTGTGTTGTCCACACTTTCTGAGTAGGTGGTCAGGCAGTAAAGTCGGGCAGTAGCCAGTAGGTGGTCGGCAACCCGAGTGCGGTATCACCATGCGCAACACATTTGGAAAGAAGAAAATAGCGCTGTATAGCATATTAATTGCTATCTTAGTAAAAAAAAAAGTAAGGACAGAGTGCAGAAAACGATCTGGTGTAAAGATTGGTTAAGTAGGAGAGAAGTATTGGGAAGTCATATGACGATATTACGTGAACTAGAAGATGGAAGTGAGCATGATTTCACCAACTACATGAGAATGGATATCAATGCCTTTTACATACTCCTAGCTAAAGTGGAACCATATATAGCAAAGGAAGATACCCATCTGAGGTAGAGTATACCAGCAGCAGCCCGTCTCGAAGCAACGCTCAGATTTCTAGCAACTGAGTGCACATACTCGTCACTGCAGTATACCACGAGGATATTAATGCAGAGTTTGTCATTCATAATACCAGAAACATGTGAAGCTATATATGCAGTACTCAAGGAAGATTACTTGCAGGTAGGGTTGTTTATATAGTAGTATTGATTGACACCACTGTTGTGTAAAGTAACGTATGTACAAGACTCCATAAAATAACAAATATCAATCGTAATCATTATGTATTGAACCTGACGTACATACGTATCTATATATGCAAATACAGTATGTGATTGGTACCGGCATCCATGTTTGAGACAGATGCTGATTGTGTCACTATCATTCAGAAATGACAGATCATTAAAGCACCATAATTTTAGCCTGTAAATTTCGTCTGTCCCGGCATCTGACTTCTGTGATTTATGTACCAGTCTCATTTCACGTCTATACTGATTTCGTAGTGTGTCTATTTTCCGCCTTATATCCCTTGTGGTAATGGAGGCAGTAATCTTCCTTATCTCCTCTGCAATTCCCTTGAGTGGAGCTGCACGTTTGTCTCTATCTTTATACATGTCACTTTTGACATTCCATAGGCACGGGTAATGGCGATAAAGGTCAATTAACCGTACGGTATCTTGTCTGGACTAGTGGAGGTTTGCAGGTTCTGTGGTGCACGTGAACAGAGGGCTAGACATGATGACGAGGTAAACCAAGCAACCACTACCTGTGGCTCGTGGTGAGACCGTGAGAGACTGACAGCCAGGTGTAACTTTTTGTGGCTGGCAGCGTCGGTGGTCCATGCCTGGCGCCAAACCATCGAGCAGTCTGCTGATTTCGCTCAACTACAGGCACGGGCTGTCTGCTGGTTTGCCCATCAAAGTTACCACAAAGTGTGTGATGACGGCTCATCACTCGTGCCTGATGGTCATTGTCCGATAGTGTGGACGGGGCCTAAGTTTTTATTTTCTTTGACTTCAAATTCATTTTCTCAAAGTATTTACTATATTTATTTCAGTGCCTCTTATTTGTTTGTTATTTCCTCTTACTTTTATTCTGGGAGAACCAAATTCTTCTCTATTCTTACACGTGTAATTACTATACTGTACTTACTCTTAGAGCTGCCACCACCCAGGCTTTTCTTTAGAATATAATATCTTCTACAACCAACCTCTCAATTAAATTGGTAGCGTGGTATACACGAGAGGATAGGCACATGAGTTATCAATTGTATTTTTAGGGATGGCAAATATAGATCTTCAATTATCATTTACAACATACAATAATTGTGCTTCCTTAAGCCCCGTCCACACGATCGGGCAGTGCCCGGCGGGCTTTGCCCGTTTACCGGGCAAAGCCTGTGTGTTGTTGTACACACAGGGGTGGTTGGCGGCAGTCATAGTCGGGCGCCGGTAGCTAGTAGATGGTCGGCAGTGGCGGGTGCGGTACGATCACCATGGTGTGTCGCAGGAATAATCGCCGGACAGTTAAAGCGAAGAGCATAGCATTGTGTACTATAATAATTGCTGCTATGTGCAAAAAGAAGAACCAAATGCAGAAAAGGGAATGGTGCAAAGAGTGGTTAGGTCGAAGAAAAGTATTGGGAAGTCATGCCACGATTTTACGTGAACTGCAAGATGAACATGAGCAAGACTTCACCAATTTCAGTAAAAGTCCAAAAATCCGGATGCCAGAAATCCGGACCACCCGAGAATCCGGACTTTTCGAAAACTTTCAAACTTTTTAAATTTAGCGGGCTTTTGTGGGTTACGTGAATGAATGGCGTTCCTTTAAAAAAATTAATTTACATAATTCTAATAATAAAAGTAATTGTAAATTATAGGTAGCTAATTTTGTTAGTTTTGTAATTAGCTTGTCCTCAAATGTAAAATTAGTGGCACTATAAATCTTTTGTGTGTATGTGTGCATGCCTGAACGCCACAGCTACACAGCGACAACAAGCGACCACGCGATCACCACTTTAACACAAGCAATAAAACCGTGACAACATATGTAATTTTGAGTCCTACTGTTTCCATTTACAGAGTACAAGCCCATAATTATGGCTCCTAAAGTAGATAAACTTCGTTGTGTGAAGAGAAAGAAGAACACATTGAAATTGAGTGACAAACTTGAAATAATTAAGAAACTAGAACGTGGTGTGAGCAATACTGATCTAATGGAAACATACGACATTGGAAAGTCTACAATTTATGATATAAAAAAGGCAAAGAATAAAATTTTAGAATTCACAGCTTTATCTTTAAAACTGCTCGTTTTGATAAATGAAGCATGCTATATTTGCTAATGAATAAACTATCAAAATGTACCTGTTCATCTCTTCTTTATTTCTCCTGAAATTTGAATTTTAAAAGTACTGCCTGAGAATCCGGAAAATCCGAAAATCCGGACCGACCCAATCCCCAAGCAGTCCGGATTTTTGGCCCCAACACCTTTTACAAACTTCTAGCGAAAGTGGAACCATATATAAAAAAAAACAGGATACCAATATGAGGGAGAGTATATCTGCAGAGGCTCGTCTAGGGGCAAAGCTCATATATGTTTCAACTGGGTGCACCTACATGTCACTTCAGTATAGAACAAGGATATCAAAACAAAGTTTGTCTCGCATAATGCCTGCAACTTGTCAAGTCATGTATGAAGTACTCAAGGAAGATTACTTGCAGGTGAGATTTTTAGTAGGTACATAAAAATTCATTGAATAATGTTAGAATTATGATATGCATAGACAGGAAGCTATGGGACTAGAGTGAGGAGAGCGGCAGGAACGAAGAACACACCCGAATGTCCTCATTACATAATACATAAACAAACTCCCGTTTATTGTCACGCCGATAATGTACATTGCATAAGCTTATTTGGACATCTGGACCGAGTAGGGAACATATACATATCACATTTGCAGTACTTAAAGTCGTCACTCCATATCCGGCAGCAAACCACCAGGTGCTGATTTACTTAATCTCTGTGACTGTGACTCAGCTGACCTCGCTTCGTCATCTGAATCATGAAAGTGAACATCTACTGTGTCATCCCCTGGGAGTTAACTGTCACTGGTACTTGGCTCTGAATCTCCTTTTGGTTTAAAAAATGTTGTCAGCTTTGGAACTGATTGCAGTTGTGCAGCTTTGGCTGCTTTTAACTTTCTCTTTTGTGAGCCACTCAGATATTTTTTTCAGGGACGACATATTTATCTCAAGAGAATCCCCAAGAATAATCTATAAGCAAAAAAATAGTGTAAGTCTATAAGAGATACCAATATCACAAAAAATAGACACAAAAACACACGTAATATAACACTGAAGTCCATTTAATGCAACAAGTAAAATATCATTAGTAAATAATGAGTGCCACGTACACAATATAAAATATCACTGAGCTGAGGCTGAGAAGATACTGACTGGCTGAGCAAGCTGTCAGCAAACCAACGGTAACCCTGACACGTACTGAACGTGAAACGATCCTGTCTTTCACACGTCAAGGCACTGAAGGTTTCTTGAACTTTATTCTCTCTCTCTCTCTCTCCAGTATATATGTATGTATAGATAGATAGATAAATAGATAGATACCGGTAGATAGATCGATGGTGGGACACAGACATTTAAATAAATTATATATTTTTTTATCTTATTTTCTTCATTTTACTATAGGGCTTAGTCAGTGGCCCACCTGAGAACCACCCCATGGCCCACCAGTTGAAGACCACTGTGGGCCTATACTTATTGTACAGGGGCCCCATACTCCGGGGCCTATACTTGTTGTACAGGGGCCCCATAATCCGGGCCCTATACTTAATGTACAGGGGCCCTTATGATTGTGAATGTATTATATAATGAAATACTCGGTGTACACTTGAAACAAGGTTATACGCTGGCACGCTGCGTGACAAATTAGTTTCAGTGGGCCCCCAGATACCGGTGGGCCCTAGGCCAATGGCCTACTTGGCCTATTGGTAAATCTGGCCCTGTATATAGCTATTTAAGGTTATATTAATTTGTGAAAATAAGGATATTTAAGACGAATTATTAATTATGGAAGTTTTAGTATACTGTACCAGTACGTACTTCATTTACCTGTGGAAATAGTTTTAATATATCTAACTTGAAATTTTTAAATCTATCTATTTTTACAAAATCATCAGACAACACAATGTGGGATCAAGAGACCTAATACTGTAATGAAAAAACAACTTAGATGAATGAGCTTCATTTTCTTTCACATAAAATCTTTGTTTTCTCAAAGATCAGGAAATACAATAAGAACTAATTTTACAAATGATTTCACACTTCAGTTACCTGCTGAAGTAGAAGCTTTCTAGTAACTGCTATTCTTGAACATTTAGCATTCCTGTAATGAGCGACTGCAGGGCTGATATATCACCAAGTGTGTTACGTAAGTCTGTTACAGTGTGAGTCAGACTACTTATACAACTGTCCTGAAAATAGAAATTCATAACATTTATAAATAATTCAAATTGTTTATCAAATATGCTATATAAAGGACACAATTTTCTTAAACAAACAAATAAATTACAATAGCCATCAACAAACAATGGATCAGATTTTTCATGTGACAGTAAAGGGAAAATTAAAAAAATGAAGGGTTGATCCTGAAATCCAATTTTATGGCTGGAGTATGGTACAGCTGCTCCTCGACTTACGACGGGGTTAGGGACCCAAATCCAGGTCGTAGGTCGAAAATGCTTAAATAATACATAGAAAATCTAAATTGGGTGTCTCTTTTTCTTCTCAGCACCACAAAACTCTCACTTTTAAGCTTGCCAGCCATTTTAAAGTGAATTACAAATTAAAATTTTGTCAGTACACAGAGCAATCACTAACGTTAGGACTCGAAAATACGTAATTTGACAAATTTTGGTACGACTGAGGCGGTCGTAAGTCGAGGAGTAGCTGTATATACCAGGGGTGTCAAACATGCGGCCCGACACACTCATGCATGCGGCCCGCGGCCCATTTGCTGCTCCAACCTTACCTTGAGGAGCTAAAACTAAATAGTGAGTGTATCCCTCAGCTGAATAAAATAGTCTGTTGTTTCCTAGAACAAAATACTCAATCAACATCACCAATGAAAGAACAATAAGACTAGAGATGGTTTTAACAGTTAATTGGCAACAAAATTAAAGGAAAAACTAATAGCTCTGAACCCGAACCATCAAATTTATAATGTGCATTGTATTATACATAAAGAAGTGTTGTGTAGTAAAACATTAAAGATGGATAACGTCATGGATGTTGTTATAAAGACAGTGAAGCTTATACAAGCACGAGGTCTGAACCACAGACAGTTCAACTGCTTATTGGAGGAAAATGAGAACACACACTGACTGCCATATCACACTGATGTTCGCTGGTTAAGTCGGGGAGTCGTACTGAAGCGATTTTATGAATTGCGCAGTGAAATACAGATGTTTATGGAACAGAAAGGAAGGGATTTGCATGAACTGAAAGATAATGAATGGGTTCAAGATCTAACTTTCATGGTGGATATTAAAGAACACTTAAATTACGTGAATACAAAGATGCAAGGACGCAATAAATTGGTGACAGAGTTTTATGACTGCATTCGTGCCTTTGAGATGAAACTTCAGCTTTTTGAACGGCAACTATCAGAGAGTAATCTTTCTCACTTTCCGACCTTGAAGTCCCTGCAAGGCACACCTGAGTTTCATGCTGATATCAACACAAAAAAGTACTGCATCAAGATTTCCAAATTAATGAATGAGTTCCAAGAAAGATTTGCTGACTTTCAAAGACTTGAGAAGGATTTTTTCATTTTTTGGGACCCATTCTCTGTTGGTGTTAATGAGGTACCAGAACATCTTCAGTTAGAATTAATTGAGCTCCAGTGTGATTCTGTGTTGAGGAACAAGTTTTCAAGTGTTGATGTTGGCACATTTTATCAATATTTTGGACCAAATTATCCCAGGATTAAATGTTTTGCCTCAAAGATTATGTCAATGTTCGGAAGTATATATGTCTGTGAACAACTCTTTTCTGTGATGAACTTGAACACGTCTCGGCTTCGGTCTCAACTTAATGATGCGCACCTTAATTCAATACTGAAGGTTGCTACAGCTCAGTCGTTAGTGCCAAACTTTGATGCACTGGTCCATACCAAGAGGTGTCAATTATCAGGAAGCAGCAGTAGAAAATAATAAGATTGATCTAGGTAAGTAAACACTTGATTTGTTTGTTTTTAAGGGTTTCGCATGAGCGCAGACTAAGTCCACCTTTCTTATTTTGTCGTACTACTCACCTAAGAGGTGATTGCGAAGTGCTCATAATTATGTTCCTTGGCCCGCATACTGTGTACTCATATTAAATCTGGCCCGCCTTGGCAAATGAGTTTGACACCCCTGATATAGACACTCCCTAGGTTATGGATGGGTTCCATTCCTGCAGGCTATCGATAAGCCAAATTATCCATAGACCGGAAGTGACCCATCCATAGGTAATCATTGAACGCACATAGTGCACATAATGTTTCTACAATTATTGTACTATAAAGGTATGGGACCATTTATCCGACATGCTTGAGATCTGGTAGTCGCCAGATAGGGTTTTTTCCAGGAATTTAGAGCATACAGTAAACCCACTGTACCTGGCTGTAAAGACTCTATTCAGATCACTAGCTTTAAACATACACTGTAACATTAAAACTTAAAATTGTAGGCATATATACATCAATAACAAAATCACATAAATAGTATTAATGAAAGCGTTGAGAGCAGAAATGATACAAGTTAGTGTTCAAACTATGTCGCAGATGCCCCAGTGCTTGCTTAGCAACAGTGCTATGCAACGGACCCTCTGACTTCCACAAACACGCTCGCCACACAGCTTCCCGGTGGAAGTCCGTAGATACATAAAATTTTATACCTTATGACAAGTATTTATTTTTGCACTTTCTGTATGTAGAATTGTGTGTATATGCAACCAAATTGTGCAATGGGAGATATTGGGAGGGAGAGGTAGGGGCACTACTGTCTTCTGCCCTGCACTGTAAATCATCATCATCATCATCATCTGCTTCAGGCTGTGCTCTGGGAGCAAAAAATTTATCCAAAGTTGTTTGATGTTTACAGCATATCTTGTCTTTGTACAGCTCACTGTAGCAGCTTAAGCCATTATGAATTACTATTGCAACTCTGAGGTTATGCTCACAATTGGGATCATTAGCAGCAAAGATTTGCAAACCTTCCCATATAAGTGCAAACGCTTTAGCCATTTCTTTTGCAGTCACCTGAAATAGGGAGGGTGGAGCTTCTATACCCTCCTCTTCTCCAGCAGCTCACTCGTGTTCGAACAGCATCAGATCCTCATTCGACAGATCTTCTCAATGGGACTGTAGCAACTCAACCACATTATCTTCTATGACTTCAGCAAAGCCTACATCATTTGCAAGAGTCACAATGTCTTGTTGAACTTGATGTATACTTTCTGCTTGTGGAAAATCTCAAAAGTCGTGGATACACTCTGACCATGTTTTCCCAAACACCATTCATTGATGATGACTTAACTTCATTCCACGACTCGACTTTGTTCTCCACAGCATCCACAATGTTGAAATCTTTCCACAAGTCACAAACTGCAGGTTTATCCTCCCCACCAATTGCTTTTATGAATTCTTTAAAAGTTCTTCTTAGATAACACGCCTTGGAAGTTTGAAATTACACCTTGATCCACTGGATGGAGCAAGGCAGTTGTGTTCGTGGGATATACTCCACTCTCACATGATCAGAAAGATAATTTAAGTTCACTGAGTGACTTGGTGCATTGTCTAAGAGGAAAAATACTTTGCTGGATATATTACCTATGCCTGTCACTGTGCCTTTTAACAGTATTCATGCTTGGTGGTAGCAAACACCAAGAAATTCACACAAAATAAATTATAATTTCTGTGAATATTTTGTTGTTCTATACAGTACAGTACAATATTGCAATTTTCGTGGAGAAATTAAAAAAAAAAAAAAAAGCCTCATTTCCGTAAGGTTGAATATATGTGCTGTATTCCGTATGGGCGAATTTCCGCAACCTGAGTATCCATAACGTGGGTGATACCTGAATTTACCCGAAATTACAAATTAAATATATGGTATTGTACTTTATATCTTATGATAATTACCAATATTTTTCTATCACTTTCTGTATGTAAGATTCAGTGTATGTAACTAAATAGAAAAATAAGAAAATTACACATATCTACCTGATGTTATGAGTTATAAAGCATAAAAAGCAAAAACAATCTCCATAATGAATATGAAACCACTAATTACCCCGCAGTTGAACCGTGGACCTCATATTCGAAATTACCATGCTCAGGAGTACCTATAATGTGATTTTCGAAAAAATCTGATTTTAGGCCCAAACTGTCGAAAATGCAAGTCTTACACAGTAGTAATTTCTCGACCAAAAAATACTTTTCTATCAGAATTAAAATTTAAGGGTTTTAACTAATTAAGTATTTACAGAATAACACATTAACATCAAAATTGCACTTAATTTGGCAATAAATTAGCAATGAAAAATTTCATTAAATTATCCAAGCGTAATTACAACCACTAATTACTCCGCAGTCAAATCGTGGACCTCATATTCAAAATCACCATGCTCAGGAGTACCTATAATGTGATTTTTAACAAAATCTAATTTTGGGCCAAAACTGTCGTAAATGTAAGTCTTACACCTTAGTAATTTTTCGACCAAAATATACTTTTCTCCCAGAATTAAAATTTAAGGGGTTTAACTAATTAAGTTCTTACAGAATAAAACATTAACACCCTGGCTGGGAGGGAGAGAGCCAGCGAGCCAGCCATCCAGCGAGGGAGGGAGGGAGCGAGCGGGAGGTGAGGTTGTAGTGGACTTCTCCCCTACAAACGCTGTTTGTCGCTAAGTAGCCGACCCCGCGAATTCCCCAGTGTATGCCTCGTGGTCTGGATCAACCAGCGCCGCCATACATCACGGAGGTCAACTACTAAGCCACGCCTACCCCCGCTATTTAAGACCTGACCTCGTGGTGACCTCTCTCTTCTTCTAGCTACAGCCGCAGCAAGCAACACCTCCTCCTTCGCCGCTGCCTGGCGGCCCTCGCTCCCGCCGGCGAGCATGGCGACCCACAAGCTGTCCTCCTCTGAGCATCCTCACCAACCAGCTCTCTCTACATCACGCTTGTAACCATGCTGCCTTCCCAGCACCAGGCTGCATTGTACATCCAATACAACATGTATACAGAGAGCACATTGTGAGTTCCTTTTCCCATCCCATCCTGAGTGTGAACCCAAACATCCCGTACCCCACAAGGTGATATGTTTGACAGTTTGAGCCGAAGGTCTCCTGTGTGTTTATTTAACAGTCCTACTAAGCTTCTCTCATTTTAAAATGCCAGTGATATGACCTGGGAGAATAATTAACATTGCTGAAATTCCTATAAGATAGTGATTAATTTGAATATAAACAAGCTATAATTTGCATTAGACATAAAAATTTTAGATCTAATTTAATAATTTTATTAGAGCAAAAATGTTTATCTTTTGTGCAAAATATATGACGTTTATATTTAAATTATTCGCTGTCTTGCAAGGCTTCCAGTAATGCAAATTATATTCTTCCAACTTTAGTCTGTGATATTATGTTAGATAAAAACTTAAAGCCTACTGTATAACCACGAAACCTTTGCTGGGGGGGGGGGATGGGAGGGAGGGGTGACAGTGACATGTTTGACAGTTAGCACCGAGGTCTAGTGAAGTATTTATTTGTACTTTAGATTGAGTTTTTGTTTTTTGCTTATAAAATTTCATAGAAGTGACCGGGGAGAATATAATTTACATGGCTGGAATTCTTATAAGATAGTGATTAATTTGAATGTAAACATGCCATAATTTGCACTAGACAAAAATTTTAGTAATCATTTTGTACATTATTTTGATTACATGTACAGTTCAGCTTTGCCCTTAGGACAGTGTGTGCATGTAAATGAGTTTCAATAAATGAATAAGTTATATATATCGAGCCAAAAATAATAGTTGAAAAACTTTATGTAGACAGACCTTGGATTGCTAAATTTTAGAATGACCAATAATTTTAATACAGGTTGACAACCCTTTTTCCGAAATTCCGAAAACCGAAAAGCTCTGAAAACCAAAAGTTTTTTTTGTGGGGCAATTTTTTTTTTTTTTTTTTAACAGGGATTAGCCCACCCGAGCATAGATCACTGACCCACATCAGGGCCTGGGGGGCGAAAATGTAATAGTAATAATAATTATAATAATAATAAAAATTATTCTTAGTAAATAAAAATGTTAATAAAAATACACCAAAATAAAATAATATGATAACATTAATAATAACAATAATAATAATAAAATATAATAAAAATAACAATAATACAGGAGTACTGTAATAATAAAATAATAATAATAATAATAATAAAGAAATACATGAATGAAAAAAAGATAAAAAATGAGAAACACGACCTAGACCTATGAATTATTATTATTATTATTAGTATAATTTTTATTATATTTTCGCCTCCCCAGGCCCGGATGTGGGTCAATGATCTATGCCCAGGTGGATTTCGGATAAGGGATTGTCAACCTGTACTGTATAACAAAATGCACAAATTTTAAAGAGAACAATTTTCTTGATATTTACTCCATTAGAAACGAATGTAAACATAGAAGAGAGTACTGAATTGGCTGAGTACCTCCTCAGCTTATCAGCTGATGTACAAAACAAAATGTGATTTTCGTAAGGATTTCGTTAATCAATTTTTTTTTCGTTTAACCGAATTGAAGATTCTTATGGAAGGTAATTCGTTAACCGAAGTGTTAGTTAACCGAGAGACCACTGTATACCTGTACAAACAAATTAATCAAAAGATTTTAATTTGTTTACTTCAAAATTTTAATAAATCAAAAGTACATGAAACATTCAATGTTTACTTACCGATCTCTTGAGGACTGAGTTTTGAGCATGATCTTCAACTAGGCGTATGTGTGAATCAACATTGCTTAGTATGTCAACAAGCTCTCCCACTAAAGTAATCAGGTCCCTGTGGGCATAAAGAACAATTGTAAAGTATGTAAATTTAAAGAAGAAAATACATTGAAATGCACAAACAACCCTTTATACCCCTGCTTATGTAAATTAGTATGCATGTAGTGAAGCATTATTATTTTCATCCGTTATGGAGCATAAAAAGCAAAAACAATCTCCATTATGGTCATTATGTATGCAACTATGACAAATTGAAAATCAATCCACTCAAAACTGTTAGGCGTTGATTATACAAACTGTAAATGTACATGTAAAGTATTAAAGGATGTGGGAGGACCTGGAAAATGATAAAGTTCTGAATATACAGTAGTAACTACAGTAAAGACCCTGAGTACTGGACCACTTCAGTAACGACATGTACAAATAACAACACGTCTCTGAAAAAATGATTTGATGTGAAAAAATTTTTGCGTACCTTGCGGATCATTGTTATTGTTGTGGAGTGATACGGCCTAGACAACATTGCCCATGAGAAATATCTACAAATTTATGTCTTCCTTGGCTTTCCCAGAGGTGGGAGACTCAGCAGGACACTTGAGTTTTCCTCTCACCAATAACGGCAAATATCACATTGATAACAAGGTTAAGCAACGATAAATAACAATAATGTTGATTACATGAGCGAGAGCAGGTGCGATCATGTTGAAACAAGTCGCTGAAATGAGATACACAGAGTGGCCATTATTGGTTTCTCTTCGCTCATGGTGGGGTAAGTAAACACGTACATGAAGAATTGCTTTGTTGAGGAACTTGGACAGGTGACGGCAGGATTCAGAATGACTACTGTATATTATTTAACAAACAAGTCAACTACTACAATACATATAAGGAATGGAAACTGTCTCATTCACTATAGTACAGTGACGCATGAGACTATCTCATTCAGAACTCGTTCGCATGCAGACCACAAGAGGGCAGCACTCGTACTAGAACAATACTGATACACACACACGCACGTACACCTAGCAGACATCACACACCTCCCTCCAGGACGTCAAGGGTGACGTATGAATCTCTGCCGTCTGAAGATCCCTCGTCACTGTACGTCTTAAGTCCCAACGAATCGTCAGGCGCAGTGGTTCCCGTCGTTGTCGTCCAGAGCGGCATGGGTTGGGTGGTGACGCAGGTAACACGGGACTGTCAGGACGCACTGTCACAGTAGCGCAGTGTTGGCCAGCACCAGATGATGGACGCTCAGCCTCTGCAGGTGGCTGTCTGGAACCAGCGACACCCACTGGCATCATGGGACGATGAGGGCGGAGAAACCTGCGATTCCTCCACAGGGTGCGGCCCCTGCCCATCTTCACCAGATAGTCTCACCTGGATCCGATGCCGACAATGACACCCAACCGTTCCCACCATCCTGACGTGTGGTCCTGCACATCCACATATGACCCGCGCTGCAGTTTGGGGAGTGGTCGAGCTGAGGCACTGTGTTGCTCCTTGGCCTGTCGAGGCAGATGTACAGCTTCACTGTCACATTCATTTGCCCCACGTTGCCACTCCACCGTGAATGCTCGATGATGTGCAGGAACAGATGATCATAGCGGATGTCCAAACAAGACCTGAGCAGGTGACCTCCTGTCAGCACACGGGGTATTCCTCAATTCCAGTAGCCCATGTGCAAAGTCATCCTCGTCCAGTCTGCCATTCCTTGTAATGGTGCAGACTAATTTCTTCGCGACCTTAACAGCCGCCTCTGCATGCCCATTGGCGCGTGGGTTGTATGGGGATGTGATATGGTGATCTACCCCCACTGAGCCAGGAAATGGCGGAGAGTCTACGAGGTGAACTGAGGACCTCCATCTGTCTTCATGGCAACAGGCATGCCAGTATCTGCAAATACAGAACGCAAGACACATACCAAATGAGCTGCAGATGTTGTTCTAGGGCAGGAAGATATGTACGACCACCCAGACAGGCAGTCGATGTAGACGAGGAAGTACTGTTGGCCACGTGGAAGTAATCTGCAGACACTGATTAAAACTCACGACTTGGGGATCGTCATCTTGCCATAATGGTTCATTCTGATGGCTAGGCAAGAGTGGTCGGCACAGGGAACAGGATGAAACTGCCAGTATACAGTCTGCCGAGCACCTCTCTTCGTCCTATCCACTCCCTGGTGCCCGTCATGCAGCCTCTCCAGTGTCTCACGTCGAAGGCTGCAAGGAATCAAGAGTCGTGAGGCCGTCGTCCACAGCGAGCATGTTGCGAACGCCCCAGTAAGGTCGTAAAGCATGTTCCAAATCCTGACGGTGCTCTGGGAATCCTCTCATGATGACATCACACAGGGCGGTGTACTCTGCGTCCCGGGTGGCAACAGCGCACACCATAACTAGCGTCTGGTCTTGTAACGGCGCCAGTTGGGTGCCCTCCTAGCAGACTGCACTAAGAGCAGACACTACGGCAGCGTGTAGAGGGTCCTCATCTTCCAACCCCAGGACGTCGTCCTCACTGGATGGATCCTGGATTAGAGCACGAGAGAGAGCATCAGGAATGCAATAAAACTTACCCTGTACATACAGATCTTCTCATGCATACGCTGCAGCCTCGGATTCTCGATCTCGCTGAGGAGCTTCCTGTTGGGAATAGGCACCAGGGGACGATGAGCCACAACCACGTCAAAATGTGGTAGCCCAGTGAGGTAGGTGCCACACTTCAAGACGCCCCACAGTACAGCCACCAACTCCAACTCCACCACTGCATACATTGATTCTGCATCAGTGAGAAATCTTGACCTGCATTGCGTGAGCCTCCATTCCTCCTCATGCCGCTGCCGCAAGACGAACTCGAGGCCATGCATCTTGGATGTTTCAGTCTCCAGCATGTTTTGTTCATTCTAGGAGATGGGCTGAGGTGCATCTGGGTAGACTCTCAGTCTTTTTAGTATTTTGTGTTTCTCTCAAGTACCAAACTAAATTATTCCATTGAAACAACACTTTGATTTAATGCGAATTTGGTTTAAAGCGAACTCTCTTGGAACGTATCTCGTGTTACATCGATGTCCTACTGTACTGGGAAAGGTCATATTAGGAACTCCTTTTGTCATTGCATTGGAACTTCAAAAACTAAACTTGTGAGCATTTCTATCTGAGGGAGTGAATATTAAGTTTTTCAATATGTTAGCCCAGATTTCATCTATTTCAGAGATCATTTTTGGGCAAATTTCAGGCCAAGAAATTGTTGTATCACCTTCTAAAAACAAGGAATGAGGACCCACAAATGTCTTGCCTTCCTGTTTCTATTTAAGTGCTGGGAAATCAGGAAGTTTAGAAACATTTTCATAAAATACCTTGAATAAGGAATCCACAGACTCAGAAGTGGTTGAAAATAAAGACTTAGATCTTACCAATGTTACCCAAAGCCTGTTTGGATCATCCTTACACTCAATGTTCTCAATCAGCTGCGTGGAAGTCGACAGCAGCCTGGTTCCACCCGTAGTAACCAACACTTTTGCGCCAGGCAAAAGAGTTTGCCAAAATGGGGACAGGATGAAGTCACTCTCAACAGGCTCTCCCTGCTCCATTGACTGAAAACAATGGTGAGTGACAACTTCCTCATCCTGATCCTGGAATCCACTAAACTTGAGCTGACTAGGTAGAGGTTCTTGCAACCTTCCTACTGCCTCATTATCCTGGATGTCCAAAAACCTACTTTTCTTAGCAGAAGCAGGTTGGTCTAACTGGGGATTAAGTCTCTTACCTATCACCCATAAGCCTAAACTTTCTGCCAACTTGGGATCTTTACAGTGTACAGTATTACATTTACAAATTTACTCTTTAAGGCCTTATTCCCTCTATTTTTAATTTGGCTCTTCAAAAATTCCTTCTTATCTCCTGCAGCTTGATTAATTCTAAAAATTATGTCATAATAAACTGCACAATCCAATGGTAAGAACAGGTTGTCTGAGACACAGCTGCTATGATTTATGCAAGCCAAATGAAGATCTAACTTGGATAGCCAAGTTGCCCTATATCCTTGATAATTATATGTAGTATGTCCCCTTGGGTCATAGGTGAACCTACTACCCCTGTACTACCGAATTCACATCCTCTAGTGACGGAGACTTCCTTGTATGCAATGTATGAGCTGAGCCATCAAATACCTTGTAGCTCCTCACTCAACACTAACTCCCCAGTGACTGTCCCGGGGTCCCCTCCATCGTCTAGCAGCCCAAACAACTGTCCTTCATCATCCCGTTGCACATCACTCATCTAAACTAGGAGGAACACTATGAGTCACTCAAGATACTAACATATACAGTCTCTCCTCGACTTACGACATATTCGACTTACGACAACCCGGACATACGACGGCCATGGCGGTATAAAATATTTTTCACATTACGTATTTTCGAATCCTGACGTTAGTGATCGCGCTGTGTGCTGACAAAATTTTCATTTGTAATTCCCTTTAAAATGGCTGGCAAGCATAAAAGTGAGAGTTCTCGTGGTGCTGAGAAGAAAAAGAAACACCCATTTTAGAATTTCTATGTATTATTTTCGCCTTTTCGACTTACAACCAAATCAACTTATGACCTGGTCGTCGGGACGGAACCCCGTCGTAAGTCGAGGAGAGACTGCAGTCGCATTTTACCATCATTATCATAATAATACAAGGGAGATTACATTTTCTTCCAAACATAATCAATATGACTGATTATGGTGATATCTCACTATCTCAATTTAATATAAATTCATTTTAATATCTCCTATTGTTCTTATGAGTCACCAGTGAGACATTCTTAAATGACTATATCATACACCTCTCCCTCCTCTAATCTCAATTGCCCCTCAGCTCACTGAACTCTACTCATTGATCAAGCTAAGATTCAGTTCAGAGCGATCATAACCATCATCAAGGTCAGGTCATCCGTTCGGCCATGATAGAAGTCAGTGTGATCATACCCTATTGGCGGCCCTGACAGAGTTCAGTGCGTTTATATCCTTAGGTTATTTCCAGGGACCACCCAGTTCTCTATTTGTTGCCAACCAGGTCACACAGACATCACCACTTCAACTAATCATTCTTGAGTGATGATGCCTGAGCTAGCATCAAGTCACCCGGCAGGGTTGACAGTGCTGAGCCGCTACCTTAGTGCTCCGTTGGCCAACATTGCTCACCAATACTCTAATGAGATGTATTGGGCTGAGAAATCCCACCATCTGAGTGGTTCTCATATAACCTATGGCTGATGATACAAAGTTCATCCCAACATAATTCTAGATTGCTATTAAGACCGGCAGGTCAGCATCCAGAAGGATCACTAAGACTAGCAGCCTTGCAAAGGTCATCCGGGGAGGGGCTGAAATAGCTACTGAGGACATGAATAAAAAAGAGTTATGAAGAAAAAACTTAATTCCAGTCCGAATGCCAAGAGTAATCATAAAACCCAGGGAGGGGGGAAAATCACATCCCATAGGACGGGAGCCCAAAACTTTTCGTGAACGAACATGGATGGGGGGAGGGGGGGGGGATGGTAGAATGGCCACATTCACCATGGTAACTCATCATAACACTTGCACAGTAATAGTTGGAGCTAAAATTAAAAAAAAATTAATTAAAAATACAGTGAAGACGAGCCGAGAAGGGCTAAAAACAAACGTCATTCACAAGGTGACTTGAAAACAGAGCATCATTAGTCACTAGACTTCGACTGTCTTCCCATGTAGAAGACGAGCCGCGGTTGCCATGACTGGCCAAACTGTATAAGAACTCCCCCAAACACAAAATCTGAGTGACATCACCAAACCTAAAGCCTCTCAATTTGCTAACCGTGATAAGATGTAGAATTTCCAAAGGCAAATTCCTTGTGGCACTTATTATTCCAGCACTCACAACACAAGATAGTGGAGCCTTCTATGTGTGTGTTTACTGCTGAGTCACCAGGCAAAAAAGATGACAGCAGTGATGCGTGTGCTGGCTGGTGCGGGAGGGAGTTTTGAGAATTGCAAAGAAATGCCAGGTAGCGACGTGTCCTCCTAATGTTACGTATTTTAGTCATTATTAGATGTTTTAATTGCCTGTATGTTGGCCTGGCTCGTTAATGCAAGGCTTATACATATGCAGGTACAAAGCTAGACGTCGCATTCTGGATTGAACAAAAATAACCATAACATAGTTCACAGCTGGCACAAAAAAATATTTATTTCCTTTATGTTTTTGACCTCATGAAAATTTTTTGGGCACAATCTGTTTGAACAATGGTGTGTGAATGTATAAAAAAAAGTATGTCTAGCCAGAACTACAAGTTGAACAATAATATAGCTCACAGCTCAGCCTCACCCACACTGAGTGCCACTGGGTTGGCTGCAGAATTACATGCCATCTCCACATATATTATTCCTCATTACCGTATATCTCGGCCTACAAGACGGAATTTGAACAAAAAAAAATCAGCCCAAAGTTAGGGGGTCGTCTTAAGCACCAGAGATAAAATTCTTACCTCTTAAATTTTGCGGTTTAGCGTGTCAAGAGTGGTGATGGAAACATGGTAAACCACTCACAAGGTCCTACCACTAATTATTTTATACTGAAACTTACATTTGGGAAGCTGGATTAAAATGAAGATTACCGGTATATTAAAATAATAAAAATGTATTATAAACCAGTCTAACATACCGTAAAAGAACAATATACCCCGGTAATAAACACAGCTGCTATCATCACCCCCCCCCCCCATTTGCCAGTGACGAGAAAGGGAAAGCGACCTTGACAGTGACCGCCTGTGGCTATTTTTAGCCGTCCTTGTGTTCGGAGGTGGTCAGTAATGCATATCTGTATATTTACTGATCATAATACTTATCTCCTATAAATAATTAATTTAAAATTAATTTTTTTACAAAGAATATTCAGTAAATGACTGCGTTAATTCTTGAAACTACCGACAGTGGTAAATTTAGGATGAGAATGATTAACAGAAGTCACGTCATGGATTCGGAGTTTGGTCCTTAATGATCATAAATGTCTGGTCAACTTCACCTACCAGGTATAATGGTAGCCTCCCTTTTTCGCGAAACAAGTATATAATTAAAGAAAATACTTGCAGTGTGTTTAATGTATTACAATATATTATAGCTAAATAAATAAACAAATAAATCGGCAAATCTATTTCAAGTAAATGGAAATATTTTACTCACACCAACATTAGTTCCAGTTAAATAACTGACGCTTAAGTGAGTCACTAGTGTACAACAGCGGGTAAAATTTGATGCCAATACTTGAAGTGAATTGGCATTATTTTAAATAACCAACCATAAATAAATGGAAAAAAGATCAAAGGTGAAACATTATATTGTATGTATGTTGTGTTGTCAAAGGAAGAGAAACAATTGAAACTCAGTAATTGTGTGTAAATGAGGCAGTAAGATAAATCAGCAACCTAAGACTTGGTCACAATTTTCGTGATGCCATATGGAAGTAGGGTCTACCATTAGACAATACTGTACATTATGCTTCCAATATCTTCCCAGGCAGTAGAATCTCCCTGTTTGGTAGCTGCCTAAAACTTTTAGTAATATTACTTTGATACAACATGATAAATTTGACAAACAATGAAAATAAACAAACAAAAGTTATTTACCAAGACCTTCTCTCTCAGAACAGAGGGGAGATAAGACGGCTATTTATAGCCCGTCTTTGTGTAGGAAGTCGACCACACTAGAAATAATTCATTTAAAATTTATATTTTTTACATAGAATATTCAGTACATGACTGCAATTATAAAATATTGTGAATATATATATATATATATATATATATATATATATATATATATATATTTGTGTAATAAATGTATGTAGTAAGTATGTACAGTAATCTTTTTCACTCAAATCCTAATGAAACACTATTGAATTAGAATACTGTAGCTCGCTGAAGCAAGCTTATAAATTAAAGAAAATACTTCCAGTGTGTTTAATATATTACAGTATGATATAAATAAACAAATAAATCGGTAAATCCATTTTAAGTAAATGAAACAATTGTATTCGACACCGACATTAGTTCAAGTTAAATAACAAACTTTTAAGTGAGTCACTAGTGTTTACACTACATCAACCGGTAACGTTTGATGCCATTACTTGAAGTGAATTGGCTTTATTTTAAAAAACCAAGGATGTGTAAACAGCACTGGTCAATGGGATGGTTGGTAAAGGACTACTGGGTCAGTAAGCTCCCAATGGTAAGTGTCACATTTGGGGTACCGGTCTTATACAGCGAATAGGGCTCAAAAGCTACTTTTTAAATGGAAATTTTGGGGGCCGTCTTATACACCCCGTCGCCTTGTAGGCCGAGATATACGGTATCCTCGTATCAATTATTTCGCTTAATGTTAGGTTTTCAGGAACGCCTCTCCATCGTTAAACAAGGGATACATGTATAGGACTTTATATATGTGTCTCAGGGAAAACTTCCATGAACCCCTTGTTTTCCATTAGACCCAGCCCTTGCCAACCATGGGAATATTCTAGAATGCAATTGTCACAGTTGGTGTGGGATTACTGAACCTACTGACTCACTTGTGGTAATGATAATGCATGGTAAGGAAGTTGGCAACTAGAGGCTGTTGCAAGTGGTATATAAGCAAATCCTTGTTCTCTATGATGGTGCGCATATGATGCTCTGCTTCCTGACACCAAGTTACTTTTCTACCTGAAATACACATAAAACAAATGAAGTTACTTTAAATGAGTAATAAATAAGAAGTTTATGGAATTATAATTTGTCGACCACATTTCATAAAAAAAAAAACACTTTGTGAGAAAAAATATAATGAGAGCTGATTGTTAAGGAATACAGTATAATGCATAGTATTTTATTTCTGATTGGCTATAACATAACTATTAATGACCGTAACTTATCCGCATAAGCACAGAAACATTATTTTCATATGCTGTACATCCCACATGAACTTGTGAAACAAAATAAAGTTTTGAAGCATTGAGAAGAGTTTACTAATCAGTACATACAGTATAGTCCTGCAATATTAATAAAAGGTGTGGGTGGAAGCTTATCTGGTCATACACTAGCAGTATGTAAGATTGAATCCAAGTCAGAATGGTTTATAAAATGAGGCTTAGTTGAAAAATCCACCAAGACAAATGAGGTTGTGATCCTGAAATCTTACTTCCCGAGTCAAGATTGAGCAACTCTCACATATTCAGAAAGTCTAGAAGGCTGACAACCCATGTCTCTATGGTCCAACATTTGTAAATGGGGATCTAAAATATCCAATAAATTTAAAAGTGCATAAACTTTCTCAACCATACCAGATTCCTTGGAAGGAGACACTTGGTGTGTGTGTAAATACAGTCAGTTCTGCTATAACGCGATAGTTGTGTTCTTGTAAAATATCGTGTTATAGAAAATAGCGTAATAGAAATAACAGGCTTATGGAGAAAATAGGGTTAGGTGCAGATTACTACTCGAAATCGAAAAAAAATTAGTAGTTAGCCTAACACAAAGGATAGCACAGTCTAAATAAATGTTACATTCATATCTAATAATGAAATCATACAGTAAATGTAACACTTTACCTTGAAAAAATATGAATATAACTTGATGGGGGAGAAGGGTGATTTTGAGGTTGATAACATCGAGCTTCTCTTCAAGTGTTATATCCTTTCTTTTGCAATCATCACCGGGAATTTGATCACCAGAACGCTTCTTGGAGATATTCTTCTTTACCATATTCACAGTTAATACCACAAAATTGGAGAAATAGTAAGCAAAAATCGCGTTACAGCAAACAAGCGTTCGCGTTATACAAATATCGTTCCTCTTCATAAATCGCGTTAGAGCAAATTTGCGTTATCAAAACACGTTATAGCAGAACTCACTGTAATCAGAATTTTTTTTTATTAAAAACATGAGTCTACCCTCAAGTCCGTGCTTTCGTAATAAAGTAATAAAGACTGTTACATTTTTAATAAAAAAAATCTGATTATTTGTGAGAAGATTTTCCAATTTTTATATAATTATATGCGTTTTGTGTGTGTGTGTGTGTGTTACAATACAGGTAAAGGAAATTACTGTCTCTAAAATGAATGGCTCCCTGTCCCAGCTGTGAAAATGCCTGCAACTTTAAAACTACCCACAGACATTCTTGGGTACATCCAGAGTGTCATTTGCAAATAACCGAGAACAGCAAAGTAAAAATCTGCAAACTTGGGGGGCATACTGTACTGTAGTTTTATGTTTGGGGGATATTCCTTTTTTGTAGCAACATACATCCCTTTATATAATGGTAGTCAATGAGAAAAATGTCTTTGACTTATGAAAAATATATTTATAAATTGCTAGGCATTAACATACAGTAAAAGTCCAAAAATCCGGATGCCAGAAACCGAACCACCTGAGAATCCGAACTTTTCGAAAACTCTCAAACTTTTTAAATATAGCGGGCTTTTGTGTGTATTTGCGCATGCGTGAGTGCCACAGCTGCACAGCGACAACAAGCGACCACGCGGTCGCCACTTTAAAACGAGCAATCAAACTGTGACAACGTATGTAATTCTGAGTCCTTCTCTTTCCATTTACAGAGTACAAGCCCATAATAATGGCTCCTAAAGTAGATAAACTTCGTTGTGTGAAGGGAAAGAAGAACATGTTGAAATTGAGTGACAAACTTGAAATAATTAAGAAACTATAATGTGGTGTGAGCAATTCTGTTCTAATGGAAACATACGACATTGGAAAGTCTACAATTTATGATATAAAAAAGGCAAAGAATAAAATTCTAGAATTCACAACTTCTTCTGAGCGGTACAATAAAATTGCTGATAGAAAAAGTTTACATTGGACAAAATTAGAAAATCTTGATAAAGTGTTGCACGAATGGTTTTTGTTAAAACGATCAGAAGGTATGGCAATTTCTGGGGTGATGCTTATGCCAAAGCAAAGTCTTTTAAGTAGCAAATGAACAGTGAATCAGAGTGCTCATTTAGTGATGGATGGCTCAGGAATTTCAAGACTCGTCATGGTATTAGACAGTTAGATATTGCTGTACCTGTTCATCTCTTCTTTATTCCTCCTTAAATTTGAATTTTAAAAGTACTGCCTGAGAATCCGGAAAATAAAAAAATCCGGACCGACCCAATCCCCAAGCAGTCCGGATTTTTGGACTTCTACTGTACCTAGGTTAAAAGCTAAGCTTCGCATTCTGGATTGAACAAAAATATATTTACAAAAGGTTCTTCTCGAACGTATTCTTTTCATAAATCGGAACACTCCTGTACTTTTCTCCATTGAATTTGAATATTACGGTACAGTACGTGGTGATTGTAGATTTTTTATATATATATATTTTTTTTTACGGGGAATAGCCCACCCGGGCACAGGTCATTGACCCACATCAGGACCTGGGAGAAAAAAAAAAGAGAGAGAGAGAGAGACTATTAACCCCTATACCCCGGGCTAGGGTGGCGCCAGCCGTACCCTCCACACAGGGTAAAACGAGAAAAATCAACTTTTCCAAAAATAATTTTTAGCGTTTATAAATAAAAAACAATAAAAAAGATGCAAGAAAAACTATACATTGTCCCTCTAGAAACTTCCGTGGCGCCTCAGTGACGAGACAAATAGAGGAAAAGTTTTTTACGTCAAGCGCTCGCTGTCACTACTTAGGGGTCATTTTTCCGCATGCCTTTGTGTACGATATGGCCAATAATGCATATATTTACTGATCATAATACTTATTTCCTATAAATAATTCACTTAGAATGTTTTTGTTTTTTTGTATATATTTTTTTCATAAAAAGTGCTTGGCGACACACAGCAGTCTGTCACCAGCTCTCTGGCTGTCTTTGTGTTTGGTATAGCAAGTAATGCATAAAATAATAATAATTACACAAATAAATACATTTATAACATAATCATAGCATTATTTTCCAGTAATACTACACTACAATACAACTACACTACTATTAGCAATATTACTTTGATACATGATAAAATGGACAAACAATGAAAATGAAACAAACAAAAGTAGGTGATTATGTTCAGGAAGCTTTCCTGGGCATTTTAACAGTGACGGGGCACCCCGGTCGGACGTTCTGGAATGTCACCCGGGGCCTAAGGCTTAGTTAATTTACACCATGAAGATGCCGGAAAACCAGCTTTTTGAAGTGAGACAGATTGTATCAGTCTGGAAACACAGAAGAAGGCAGAGCATTCCACAGTTTGGTTGTGTGAGGAAAGAAGGATGCACTATAACGAGTTATTCTAGTGTGCCCAACATCCACCCAGAAACAGTGAGCACTGCGGGCAAGATGAGTGTTACGAGCCCACAGCCTTGCTGCCGGTACACAGGATGCCAAATCCACTGAAATTGCCCATTAAAGTACCTGTAAAAGAGAGAATGAAGCAAAATTGCGGCGAAGAGAAATTATCAATTAAAGCAGAAGAGTTAATAAGACGAAATGCCTTTGATTGCACCCTATCTAACAGCTGGACAAAACAAGAACCACCCCAAATATGAGAGCAGTATTCCAAGTTAGGACGAATGAATCCTTTATAAACTTGAAGCAACTGCTCAGGAGTGAAGTAGCTATGACATCTGTACAGCATTCCCAGCTTTCAGGAGGCAGCTTTAGCAATGTTGTGGATGTGTGGCTTCCATGACAAATGAGAGGAAATGGTGAGATCTAGCATATCGATTTCAAAATTTAGCTGCACAGATCTGCATTGATAGATGAAACAACATCAGCTCTAGAAACAGATCTAGTTTGAGAGTTAAGGGGAAAGAAAGAGTGAACAGTAGAATCATCAGCGTAAGAAAGGACAGAATTAGTAGTAGTTTTTTTGTGAAATAAATCTTTGATAAAAAGAATGAAGAGAGTAGGTGAAAGAACAGAACCCTGTGGAATACCACTATTGGTAGAGAAAGAGCGAGACATCGATCCCTCGGAAACAACTCCCATGGATCATTCTCAAGGAAGCTAGAGATTCGAGAACAAAGTGGGGGAGAGAAACCATAAGAGGGAAATTTAGAAAGAAAAGACTTGTGCCATACCCTGTCAAATGCTTTGGAGATGTCTAGGGCCATGACAAAAGTTTCCCCATAATCCCTAAGAGAGGATGACCAAAGATGGGTGCAGTAGGAGAGCAGATTACCAGTAGATCTAGCCTGGCAAAAGGCATATTGGTGATCCGACAAAAGAGAAAAGGGTTCAAGGGGTGAAGTTAGGGCAATGGAGCGATAGTTAGAGGGATTAGAATGGTCACCCTTCTTCGGGATGGGCTGAACCCAGGCATGCTTCCATAAAGAAGGAAAAGTTTGGGTTTTAAGGCAAAGGCGAAAGAGGTGAGCAAGCACAGGGGCCAGAATTTCAGCACACTCCCTCAGAACATGAGGGAGTATTCCATATGGTCCATGCACCTTACTCACATCCAAATTGAATAATACACCAGCAACCCTACGGGTGGAGATTATAGGAAAGTGCATAGATTCAGTAGGAGGAGCAAAAGTAGGAGGGGTAGAGTTGGAATCATCTAAGGTGGAGTTAGAGGAGAATAAAGTGCCTAAGAGATTGGCTTTATCAGAGGTACAGTTGGCTATAGTTATCAGATCGGAAAAGAGGGAGAGCAGAAGTTATTTCAGATGTTTTTGGTTAAGGACCAGAAGGATTTACTAGAAAAAGAGTCAGTCAGGTTAGCAGTCTTTCTTTTTATAAAATTCACTTGGCCCTACAAAGAATAGCTTACAACGATTCCTGGAAGTAATGAAATTGGAGTGGGTAACAAGAGGAGATAGTTTCATAACTTGATATGCCCTATCTCTCTCCCTACACACAAGAGAACAAGAGTGATCAAACCATGATTGTAAAGTGAAAGTTTTGGTAGAAGATGGGATAAATGCACTCATACCACCCAGTATAACCCCAGAAATGCTGTCAGCACATACTGAGGTGTCTTGAGTGGAAAAAGCAACATTCCTCTCAGGGAAAGTAGGAGAAGAATTCTCGCAAGGATTGTCAGTTTGCCCTCTGATTGTACCATTGTTGGCATTTAGAGGAGGGGGGGGGGGGTCATGACCAGTTTGATTTAATAGAAATAAGAGTGTGACCAAAAGACCCTAATGGGGCAGAAATTTAGTATGAATAGTATGAAGGGTTAGAGGCAAAACAAAGGTCAAGAAAGTTAGTAAGTTGATCGTGTTGATCTGGAACACATGTAGGGTGCTAAATTATTTATTCCAGATCATTAAGTAAGGAAAAAGAGAGTGCCTCAACTCCACCAGGGTCATCCCTTGTAGAGCCAAGTCATTCTCTATGATGTACATTGAAATCCCCTAGGTAGAGGATCTCGGTGTTGGGGTGTGTAGATAGCAACGATTCATGGCAAGAAGTGAGATAGTTAAAGAGTTCCAAATAGCTGGTAGAGTTGGGAGAACAGTATAGGAAACAAAGAAAAATAGTCATAGTTGGTAGAGATATTTTGAGCCAGATGACATCATAAAGAGAAGATTCAAGATCCGTGAGTCAAGCTATAGGTGTGTGTTGCAGTAGGCGCATACACCTCCCTTAGAATGGAAAGAGGTATTAAGGTTGTAGTTGGGGACTTGAAAGGGTTTGAGTGAAGCTGTTTTGGTAAATTTTTAGGCTTACTAACATTATAAGAGTTAGAGAGTAATGAAATGCAATAACTGCATTATTTAAGCACATTTTCAGTATTACTTAAGGAAAAATTATGAAAATAGAAAAAATAATAACTTTGGGTTTTTCTTGGTTCCAGCTACCCTTCAATACAGTGGGACAAAGTGCAGGCAGTGACTAATATCCTCTACCCATTACAATCTTAACTATTCTCTTAGTTATTAAACATAAGTTATCATGATTTTGTAAAAAAGAAAGAATATAAGGTTATAATAAGGAGAAAACACAAAAAAGTCTTACTACATTACCAACCCAATCATACCTAATACTTCTGGATGTGTAAGTGAGGATGAATTTTCATTCATTGTAGCTATGTTGATCTTCTCAACTATAGTGGTAAGTTTCTGCCGAGCTTTAGCCAAGGCAGACACATCCTCCAAAAAGCTATTCACTGCCTGTAACATGAAAAAAAAAATTATATAATACTGTACAGGGTATATAAACTAGTTAGAATAACAGCCAAGAGAAGTCCAGTTAAAATGAGCAAAATGCTCTTAAAAAAATATTACAGGGACTCATGAAAAAATTACATTTCACAAGGGTACACACAATCAAAAAGTATCTTGAAAATGGGTCCAATGAATTTAAAAATGAACACTGTAACTCCTGTTGCCTCAGTAGAGCTGTCAAAATCCTTCATCCGCTGTGTCATATTGTCACACACAAAATTATAAAGATACTTTTTGATTGTGTATACATCTAATTTTTCATGAGCTATTGGCTGAAGGAAACCATGTACAGTATACTGTACATACAGGCATCCTCCGCATTACAGAAGGGTTCTGTCCCTGGAAAATTGACTATCACGAAATTCCGTAATGTGAAACCTATTTTCCCACTGACTTCCATTATAAAACTGGAGATGCGTTCCTACGGAATTTTTTTCGGCTCCAAAAACGTAATTCAAGCACTTTTATGAATGAAAATAAACATTTATAAACACATACAATACAGTACATTAAATAATTTATGATATACATGTAATATGAAGAGAAATACTGTTGGATTAAATAAAAATATTGTACTGTACTCGCCACAAAAGATGTTGACTGCTGCGTGAGGATAGGTGGTGCAAAGGGAGTTATTGGGAGGGAGAGGGAGGGGCACTACTCTCTTCTGCCCTGCCCTGTAAATCATCATCTGCTTTCGGCTTTTCCCTGAGGGTGAATAGCTCATCCAATGTTGTTTGACGTTTACGGCGCAGTGTAGGAACTGAGAGCATTGTTAACTGCTCTTGCAACCTTGATGTTCCTTTCACGGTTGGGGTCGTTATCAGCAAAGATTTGCAGACCTTCCTGTATTAGTGCAAACCCTTTAGACATATCCTTTGTTGTCAACTGAAGTGGGGTAGGTGGAGATTCTACATCTTCTTCTTGTCCTGCAGCTTGCTCTTGTTCCAACATCATTAGATCTTCATTAGTCAAATCTTCTCTATGGGACTCTAGCAACTCAACCACATCTAATATCCTATAGGATTAGCCGTATGTCTGTCTGTCTGTTCTGGGCAGCCGAAACGGCACAATCTTTTTTCATCAAATTTGGTGGAAAAATCGCAAAAAATTCGTAGAGTGGAGCAAACCTGGTCCCATGTCGATGGTTTCTTTAGGAAGGCATTAATTAAAAATTTTATTTACGATTGAAAACGATGCAAGTCTACGGACTTGGCGCACCCTAATTAACCATGCAAGTCTACAGACTTAGTGCACCCTCATTTGCTGTACGCTAGCCAAGCATGAGCGTTCAAACTTTCACTGGGCACGAAGGTGCCCGCGATCACTTGTCATTTTCTATGACTTCTTCAAAACCTACATTGTTTGCAAGAGTCACAATGTCTTGTTAAACTTGTTGTAAACTTTCAGCTTGTGAGAAACCTTGAAATTCATGGACACACTGGCCATATGTTTTTCCATGAACCATTCATAGCCGAGGTTTTCACTTCATCCCATGACTAGGCTATATTATCCACAGCATCCAAGATGTTGAAATTTTTCCAGAAGTCCCTAATTGTAGGTTTATCCTCCCCATCAATTGATTTTATGAGCTGCAAAAAAGTTTTCCTAAGATAATATGCCTTAAAGTTAGCTATCACACCTTGATCCATTGGCTGCAGCAAGGAAGTTGTGTTCTTGGGGATGTACTCCACTCTCACATTATCAGAAAGATCATTTAAATTTACTGGGTGGCTTGGTGCATTGTCCAAGAGGAGCAATGTTTTATTAGATATGTTACGCCTGGCATTGTATCTTTCTACAGCAGGGCAAAAAAGTTAGTGAACCAGTCTTGGAAAAGGGTCATATTCATCGAAGCCTTCTTATTGGAACGCCAAATCACAGGTAGATTAGACTTGGCATAGCCCTTGAGAGCCCTTGGATTTTCTGAGTGATACACAAGTAGGGGCTTTAATTTCATGTCACCCGAAGCATTTCCTCCCACAAGAAGTGTTAGACGATCTTTGGATGCTTTAAAGCCTGGTGCTGATTTTTCTTCAGTGGAAATAAAAGTTGTAGCAGGCATGCGCTTCCAGAAAAGCCCAGTTTCATCAACATTGTACACTTGTTCTGGTGTGTAACCTCCTTCATCAATAATTTTCTTCAGCTCAGCAGGATACTTCTTAGCAGAATCTGTATGAGCACTAGCAGCTTCACCGCTCATTTTGATGTGTAAATTAAGGCGCTTCTTAAACCTTTCAAACCAGCCTTTACTAGCCAGAAAAGGTTCAACCTCAGAAGATGCACCTTCCTCTTCCTGCAAATCATTATATAAACTGATGGCTTTCTGTTGAATAACCATAGTGTTTAGTGGCACATTGCATTTAGTCTGATCTTCAATCCAGACACTCAGGAGTCGTTCCATATTCAACATCACATCACTTCGATGAAAATACAAGGTTCGAGCAGTTAATTGAGTAGCAGCATGAGCACTTGACCTAATTTTGTCCTTATTATCCCGGATTGTTCCCACTGTTGAAGTAGCAAGACTTACTGTTTTTGAAATCTAGCTAAGTTTTTCTCCAGCATCAAACCTTAAAACATCAAGTTTAATATCCAATGTAATGCCTTTGCAGCTTCTTTTTGCACTACTGAGGTCACTTTCACTTGATGGCCTCTTTCCAGTCATCTTGAATAAGGGTAATGCACTGTACTGTACTTACACTGGATGTAAACAATGGAGCGACTCCCCGTGGCGATGCCACGCTTGGCGGTAGCAAACACCAAGAAATCCACACCAAACAAATTATCATTTTTAAAATAATATATCATTTTATGGTGATTTTTTTTTTAAATTGTAAAAATTTACCTCCAATTTCCGGAAGGGCAGATTTACGGGCCGTATCGCGAAATTATTGGTCATAATTTACAAATTCCGTAAGAGCGAAAATCCATAACCCGAGCTTCCGTAACACGGGGACGCCTGTGCTAAATAATCATGATGATTATTAGTGTAAAGTACTCCTGCTTGACTGTCTGGCTCTCACAAATAAGTACTGAACAGGGGTAAAAGGGGAACTGTCAGTTTTGAAGAGAATGAAAAAACATTACTCATAGCAAGAACTGGAATTAAATTTTTCATCAAGTTACTAATACAATTACAGTAAGAATATAAATATTGCCTGTCCTCAAGTTTTGATATGAGAATAGTTTTTTGTATGTTTTACTCAAATATGACCTTCATTTCTTGTGCAAATTAGCATTTTTTGCAAAAACTGAAAATTTTCATTTACAACAGAAACTGCTAATTTACCCCCCAAAAAGGCAGATTTTAGTAAAACACCAAAACACACACACACACACACACAAAAAGTTCAATATTGCAGACTGACCCGCAGACGAGATATTTGTTTTGCTGTTTATCTTATAACTTTATTTTCATCAGTGAGTTTTGATATGATAATCATTTCTTGTAAAATATGTTTAGTTTGGTAGATACTGTAATTAGGCGACTAGGCGCGCACTACTTTGTCTTCTCGGTGGTAATGCGGCGGTGATGTCTCATCCAAGGATGTAAACAGCCAATCACATTGACTTAATTCAAAACACTCTGCGGCCCAGGCTTGATCAACACCAAAGCTCAGTGAATGCTTAAGAACCGTTCGGTACGGACGGCTGTTCTAACGTCCACAAAAAACGTATAATTACACCATGCCATAATAAGTTCGTTCTGTTTAACTTACCGGAGGGTGAAGCGGTTATCATTTGGTTTCGCACATCTTCAAATCGCATAAAAGCACTTACTTTTAGGCAATTTCTACCTCATATATACATTCCACAACCCGCCATTTCTTGCCCCACTGCGAGCTGTCTGGAGCCATGAGGCATGTCACACTACCTGCCTCTGCTCCCTTGAACATACCTGGCGAGATGTGAAGGTACCTTTTCAATAGATAGTACCTGAAGCAGGAGAGACTGCACCACTTCCTCCAGGTTGTTGCCCAAATGTATGAACTTATTAACTCTCTTCCTTTAGTCGAAAATCTCTCTTCCCTTTCTCTTCGCCGCAGTGTTGCTTCACTCTCTCTTTTACAGGTACTTTAACGGGCAATTTTCGGTGGATTTGACATCCTGTGTACTGCAGGCAAGGCCGTGGGCTCGTAACACACGTCTTGCCCGCGGTGCCCACCATTTCTCTGTGGGTGTCGGTCACACGAGAATAACCCGTTATAGTACCTCCTTCTTTCCTCACACAGCCAAACTGTGGAATGCTCTGCCTTCTTCTGTGTTTCCATACTTATACAATCTGTCTCACTTTAAAAAACTGGTTTTCCGGCATCTTCGTGGTGTAGATTAACACAGGATAACCCTTTTCTTCTCTATTTTCAATTTCTTTCTGTTCTTTTTTTCTCGCCCCCCAGGCCCCGTTGTGGCCCGTTTGACCTGTGCCCAGGTGGGCTAATTCCCATAAAAAAAAAAATACATTCCAATGCAGCACATTAACGTAAGTAAAAAATAACTTGTTTTCTTCCCCGCTGGGGTTAGGTGAGGTTAGGTTAAAATTGGTTAATTTAATGAAAGTTAGGGGTGTAGATGTTTGGTTTCTGATGTACAGTATTTGGATGTATATTGTTCAGATATCACCTTCGTTTTTGATGGAAAATAGCCGTTTTTGATCAAGGATGACTTGCATTTTCTTATTAAAAGTGCGCTTTTCCCATGGCAACGAAGGTCAGGTCTGAACAAAACACATCAAAATAAACCAGAAATCAAACATTTTGTGAAAAAAAATCACGGGTGATGTGTTGTAACAATGCTTCTGCTGCTTGTTTTTCATATCAACTTTGGTTAGGTTACATTTAATTTACAAATAACCATGACAATGTCCGCTGTAGAACACAGTGAAATAATGGTGTTTTTATAATCGTTTTCTATGAAAAATCAACTGTGGTCAGTTGTCAATGATTACCGCTATTTTTTAATCTTTGTCTGTAATATTGAAAATTGGATACCTGTGTACAACCAAAGGTTTAAATATTAACCAAAACGAATAACTCGTCTGCTGTGAAGTCCTCCATATTAGCCACGCCAGAAATGCCATTGAAGAATTGTCAAAACTACTGGTTGCAATTTAAAATTCCCAAGACTCGTTTAGTGGCAACAAGTAAACTAATACTAAAAATCCTAGTTTGTCTAAGAAATGTAATACATACATTACCTGACTTGAATTAAATGTGCTCAGGTTGTCCTGTGTTGCTGTGCTAATGACATCAATGGCTTCACCAGCATCACCTTCCACTTCATCTGGGTAAAAAGATCTGATTATATCACCCAAACCATGATGAGCGAGTAATAAATCTTCTATTCCAACCTCACCAGACATTATTCAGATGATAATATTGGAATCAGTGGCTGCCTCGGGAGTGTGTTGTTGTGGTGGTTCAGATGTTTTAAAATCCCGCGGTATAACAATCACACAAATGAAGGAGTTTGAGATTTCTAGAAACATTTAACCAACAAATGTTATCTGTCAACTACCAGGCTCGCTTTATTTCCGCTTTAATTTTTTCGAGGTAGGGTACAATTTTGTGAAATAGTAACAGAAATTAGTTGATAAATGCTAAAGTAATTTTTTATTAGAATTGTAAGAGTAAATCATGTACCTAAAATTTTAGTATATCTTGAAATAAAATTAGAGATTATTACTCAGGAACATTATTGAATAATTTGAGGGTTAAAATTGGACGTCGGATCACCTGAAGAATCGTCGCCCCAGAATGTCCACGTACAGTATATGAAATAGGTTAACAAACATGTTTTACATTCACCACCTCGATGGACGGTGACGTAGGGCGGGAAATTCACAAAACAAAATTTTGAGCTTTACTTTTATCCTCGACTCTTCACCACTGATCGGCTCGTTAGCCGCTTGACCGATCCATCACGTCTCTGTCAGGCACTGTTGGCGGTAAATTTTTACTTTAGGACATGAGTCCCTAGGGGTTGTCCAATATGTTTTTCCAGTATATTTTGATGTGTTTTAAACGAATCTGGCCTTCATTTTAGGCGGAAATTTCTAGTTTTTGCCCCCCCCCCCCAACAATAATGGGGGAGAGCCTGGGAAATCAGGGTTTTGGGGTGAGGGAGAAAACGAGTCATCTAATCAAACAAAACCTAACCTAACCCCTAATCAGGGCAAGGCGCAGTGCAGGCACCCGTCTGGTGGCCTTCCTGTGGACATTTTAAATCAACTGAGAGTCCCTGGCATATCTCGGGATCAGACGGGCTGACAACAGTGCCGGATTTAGACCTGTGGAGGCCATTGGGCAGCCTGTTTGTGGAGGCCCCCCTCATTATAACTACCCAAGAGGGTGGGGTGGCTAGTGAAGCGAGCCTAAACATCTGGGAGTTCCGGGGGGCGCTGTAAGCCCCCCGGGAAAATTTTGAAATTTGAACACTTCTTTGGAGAATTTTGAAGCCATATGCAGTTATATTGAGGAAATTAGAACATTGAGAACTTTTTAATTAACTGTATATTTATTGATAGTGTACAATTTCCCAACACACACACACACAAGTGAGACATGACTGGAGTCATTCATGTGGTTTCAAGTTGACCAGCCCTGATATAGCTACTACCGCACATGTGGAGGCCCCTGGGCAGCTGCCCACTCCTGAATCCGGCCCTGGCTGACAATGTAGCATAGTGTATGTGGCCAGTTGTCTAATTTCTCTTTGTCGCACTTAGGATGGAGATGAAAAAGGAATCTCACAATGGCGTTTTCTAAATATATATACACAGTACATATATTATATGTACAATGCAGTGCTAGGGAGTTGCTGTGTGGTTAGGAGCTTGTTGAGAGGATGTCTTTTCTGTTTGAGAGCGTTGAGTAGAATACCTTCTTGACTTGACGTCTGTAGGTAAGGTAGAGGGCTATTGCTTGTAATGCTGAGTGGGAGGGCAGGGATTAGGATTGAAAGTACTTTGGTGGCAATTTGGGGGAGGGGGGATTCGTTTAGGATCAAGGAAAGAGGGAGGAAATTTGAAGGAAAGTAAGAGATTGACAGTATCCGGGCTCAACCAGATATGCTGAGGTTAGAATAATAATATTTGAAATTACATCTTGCGTGATTAGGTTCTAGTGTGGCGTACTGTATGTGGCCAGTTGTCAAACTTCTCCATGTTTGTCTATCTTCTCTTTGATAGGCTCACATACATACGTACACGTAGGAGATCTCGCACTAAGGATGGAGGTAAGAAGTGAAACTCACAATGCGTTCTCCGCATATATATACATATATATTGTAAGTACAGTGCAGTGCTAAGGAGTTGCTGTGTGGTGATGAGCTTGCTGAGAGGTCTTGTTGGTTTGAGAGCGTTGAGTTGAATGACCTCTACGGCTAGGCTGAGGTGTATTTATACGATTCTTCAGAGTCAGAGAAGCGAGTTGCGAAATGAGTGGCGCCAATCACTGCGCAGTCTGCGAGTGAGGCCTGGTCTGTGGAACTCGCTGCTGATCGGCTGGTATCGGACGGCAAGTGATCAGTCAGCAGTTGTAGGGGAGAGTATCCACTACAATACTCCCCCTCCCCTCCGAGCGCTGCAGGAGACTTGTTGTCGGCAGGGTTGTATCCCACATGTGAGACATAACGGGCAGGGGTGTGGATCAGTCGGCCCCTTACAGGAGACGACTCCGTCTAGTGACGCGGAATCTATGGGAGAAGGTTTGGGAGAAGGAGGGTTGTGGTGGAGAGAAGGTTGAACAGGTGAGGAATGTGGTGCATCTCTCGCGGCAGGTGCAAAGTCCTCAGGGGCGCCGGGTGGGGTGTCCATAGGGCTGGCTGCAGAATCCTCATCAGGAGCAGTAGGTACCTGGGGATGAAAAGAGGGTACCCAGAAATGTTATGGGCGAGGTGGTGCTGTAAGCGGCAATCGTGGGCAGACTGGCGAAGGAGGTGCAGGATGAATGTGTTCAGGGCGATGGGAAGGCTGGCGTGGGGCAGTAGCCTTGAATGCAGGAACTGCCTGTCGTAGTGTTTGTAGTAGGTCGTGACGGGCAACAGGAGTGAAGTGGCCAAGGTCAGAAGTAAGGCATGTGATGTGCTGCTTGATAGTGTCGGAGGTTATGGCGCCCACCAATCCCAGTCAATGTCGCTTCCTCGTGTAGTTGCATGGACCCTCACAGAAGGTAGGTACACTGTGCTGGGGGCTGGCGGCGGCATCTGAGGCAGGACTGGGGTGTTGGGGTCGGTAGGATACAGTGTGTGGGGCAGGAATGGGAGCAGCTGCACGGTTGGAGGAGCAGAGTTGCTCGAGGGTGTCAATCCTGCGGTGTAGGGACTGTAGCAGGTCCCTCATGTCTTGTGAGGTGTTGCTCGTCTGGGGAGCGTTGATCAGGTTGACAAGATTGGAGGAAAGTGACGGTGTGTCCGCTAAGTTGCTCGCGGCAGCATGGCGCACAGCAGTGTATTCGTGGAATACTCTGTTTGCCATGGCTGCATAGGTCGCCGAGGTAGTAGAGTAGTCCAATGCTGAGAGGACGAGACGAACTTCTGCAGGGAGCTTCTGAGTGTGAAGCTGGCGCAGGAAGTGTAATAATAATAATAATAATATTAATAATTAACGGTTTATTGAAAGAGCTTGGCAGCCAGAAGGCTGAAAATATACAGTTACATATTTGGGGAATGGATTTCGAATTACAAATAATATACAAGTAACATAGTGATACAAATAAGATATATGATAACTAGATGGGGAAAAGCTCAAACTACAGTGCATTTCAACATAGTGACAGTGCAAGAAGTAGTATTTACTGGGAGTGAATACACTGGTTTATTACAAGTTATTGATAATTTTTACAATGGTTGGGACTGGGCTGTTCTTATAGCGATCAGTTCATGCAGTTCATGCACGTATGGGCTGGATGCGGTTGTGGTGTCGAACAGCAATTCTCGGGCTAGGGATCTCAGGTGGTAGTAGGAGCCGGTGTCGCGGATGGTGTAGAAGCTTCTTACCAAATTTGCAGATGAGGTCGTGGTGATGGTCAGTGTGTTGAGCGCTTCTTGATATGTGGAGTAGGAAGGGGAGAGAATAATCTTGCATGCCCTCTTTTGCACTTTTTCTGGGTGTTTACGTTGTGTGGCATTTAGGGAGGAAGACCAGGTAGGGGAGGCATAGGCGAGCTTGGGAAGTATGAATGTTGTGTAAACACTGAGGAGCTCGGGTGCAGGAACTCCGAGGGACTTGAGTCGGCGGAGGAGGTGGAGACAGAAACTGGAGGATTTGACAACTTCACTGACATGTGGTTTCCAATTTAGTTTGTTGTCTATGGTGACGCCGAGGAGCTTCGTGGAATCTACAACCTGGAGTGTGTTCGGACCTAAAGTAATGGAAGGAGGCAGGACAATGTCGGAGGAGAGGAAGCCTCTCTGTGTGGCGGGAGTTCAATCTCCGCATCTCGTTCCAGAGACGTGCAGGTGTTGAGTTGCCGAGGGAGAGACAGGTTAGGTCTTGCAGGAGACTGGTGTCGGGCAAACTAATGCTCTATAATCCGAAAACGCTCGTGAGATGTTGTCGACGATGTCAGTGGCGGGTGGTCCGGTCATGTCAGTTGGCCAACAATGGCAGCAGAGAGAGGGCGGTCCTTACAGCTCCAGGGGTATGGCAGCAGAGAGAGGGCGGTCCTTACAGCTCCAGGGGTATGGCAGCAGAGAGAGGGCGGTCCTTACAGCTCCAGGGGTATGGCAGCAGAGAGAGGGCGGTCCTCACAGCTCCAGGGGTATGGCAGCAGAGAGAGGGCGGTCCACAGCTCCAGGGGTATGGCAGCAGAGAGAGGGCGGTCCCCACAGCCCAGGGGTATGGCAGCAGAGAGAGGGCGGTCCCACAGCTCCAGGGTATGGCAGCAGAGAGAGAGCGGTCCTCACAGCTCCAGGGGTATGGCAGCAGAGAGAGGGCGGTCCCCAGCCCAGGGGTATGGCAGCAGCAGGCAGCAGAGAGAGCGGTCCTCACAGCTCCAGGGTATGGCAGCAGAGAGAGAGCGGTCCTCACAGCTCCAGGGGTATGGCAGCAGAGAGAGGGCGGTCCTCACAGCTCCAGGGGTATGGCAGCAGAGAGAGCCGGTCCTCACAGCTCCAGGGGTATGGCAGCAGAGAGAGGGCGGTCCTCACAGCTCCAGGGGTATGGCAGCAGAGAGCGGTCCTCACAGCCCAGGGTATGGCAGCAGAGAGAGAGCGGTCCTCACAGCCCAGGGGTATGGCAGCAGAGAGAGAGCGGTCCTCACAGCTCCAGGGGTATGGCAGCAGAGAGAGAGCGGTCCTCACAGCTCCAGGGGTATGGCAGCAGAGAGAGGCGGTCCTCACAGCTCCAGGGGTATGGCAGCAGAGAGAGAGCGGTCCTCACAGCTCCAGGGGTATGGCAGCAGAGAGAGGGCGGTCCTCACAGCTCCAGGGGTATGGCAGCAGAGAGAGAGCGGTCCTCACAGCTCCAGGGGTATGGCAGCAGAGAGAGAGCGGTCCTCACAGCTCCAGGGGTATGGCAGCAGAGAGAGAGCGGTCCTCACAGCTCCAGGGGTATGGCAGCAGAGAGAGAGCGGTCCTCACAGCTCCAGGGGTATGGCAGCAGAGAGAGGGCGGTCCTTACAGCTCCAGGGGTATGGCAGCAGAGAGAGAGCGGTCTACACCCGTCCCTGTTCTTCCTCGATTCCTCCTTCCTCTGCTTCAAGCCCTGCAGGAGCTTCTTGTGCTGTTCCTTTTGCATTACCGTGCGATCTGGGTGTATCAATACATTCTGAAATGTCTCGCTCCTTGCTAAGTTTTCTGCATGGCAGATAACTTCCCATTTCTTC